GACACTGACCCGTGTTAAGTATATTGATACACTGGAGTAATCTGTGAGGCAAGATCCATGGAGAAGCGGGAGATTTGGATCCATATGAAACGCGGCGAGACCAGTGAACTTCCCAGAAATGGCTTACTTTCACTTAACAGTTTTACAATTAAAAAAAACGTCATGATGTATATGATGCAATATTTCTTTCAATCAATATTTTATTTTGAACGAAGCAGTTGATATCCCCCCCCCCCCCCTCCTCCCCCTCTCATTAATTTAGATGGGAGGCTTGAGGCGCCTATATAGACTGTATCACAGTCAAATCGCAGCTCTGACTATAAACCACACATGCGCAGATTTAGCTAGCTCTTACCTGTTATGAAATGGTCAGAACAGACCTTTATAGTGCCGTTTTTCGAGGGTTAGGGTTGAATTCCTCTGGTTGATCCTCGCCAACTAAAGGATCTTTTCTCTGTCCCGAGTCACTCCCCTGGCTTGTAATAGCCTTCGGAATGTCCCCACAATCTACGCGGTTACTGCACCCCCAAACGATGCAGGCAGTCGGCATGTTTTAGCGCAAAAAAGTGATTTGGCCCGATTTGGTTAGCTACAACTAGCAGCGGCTAGATTCCCAAAATGGCGAACTGCGGAATTGTGGGTAGTGCGTGACTATAGTGATATGAAAATTAAGTTATTTTTGTGAGAAAGTTCTCAAACAGACCAGCAGCTCTCAGCACCAGTGAAAGTCCAGTCTAGTGTTTGTACTGTGAAAAAGTCTCTGCTAAACATGGATCGATCATGCACTTAACAGTCTTCCCCATAGATCCAGAAAAAGAGCAACTCTGTAACTCTGCAAATCTTTTTGTGACAAATGTGTCATCTCATCAGAAAGGCGAACTTGTAATTTTTATGCTCAGACCTTTTAACAAGTAACTTTCTAAGTATTTAGTAAGTAACTCAATTTTAACCTGATATTTTACCAATTCAAAACTTTTGGTTTTATGCATAGCTGTGCTCCTCCATGATGTGAAATAATCCTGATGAGAACCCCAATATTGTCTTCTGTTTTATTGGCAACCCCTAAAAAGTGGCTCTGCGCTGTATGTCTACCTGGTAGAAGTTGCATAACAAAAATATTGCAATAGCTATGCTCTATTTGAACATACTACTAACCCCAGTCCATGCAGAAGGCTCCTGTGTATACTTCCACTGCATCTTTTTTAAACTTATTTTGCATGAATACCATCAAGGTTTATTTTAGCTTGATGGAGTGATTTGGTTGAAATATTTTATGGATTACTTTCAGGGAGTCACAGATAATGGTCTTGGGCATTGGTGCTGACATTGGTAGGGGTTATGCCTTTCAATTAAAGTAAGGAGACCAAGTCCTTACTGACTGACATGAATCCAATTGTCCTGTTTGTTGTTTTTTCAGCCTCTTTGTTGATATTTGTTCATTTCAGGTATCACCAGAACTGAAAGTATGATCAGTATCAGACACAGAATAAGTGCATCCCAGAATATTTCATGACATGTCTTTGCTTAATGAAAAAAATATTACTACTAAATATTACTGTAGAGATCTGACTTTGTGTCTGCTGCCGATTTTGTTGAGAATTGACAACCTGATACACACGCTGCCAGATCAGGAGGGACAAAAGAAAATTCTATTATCTATAATGCGTTTCAACAACAGAAGGAAACTCAGCTCTTGTATTATATTTCCCATCCTCGACTGTGTCTTTGTCTCAAGTCAACCATAGATTTAGGACAACAGACGGTGTGCAAGTCAGAACAGCTGAGTAGTTTTTTTTATTTTTGTTCTTTTTTGTTCACCAAAGCAGGCTCCTAGTCACTTGGGGATGTGCTCCAACCTGTAAAAGGAATTGAGCTCAGAGAGAAGCTTGCAGAGGTGAGCTCATTCCAAATATGGGTATCGAGAGTGCCTGATTGTGCCCCTGCCACACGCACATGACTGACAGCAAGGAAAGCTCTGAAGAGGTCGGTCTGCAGGAGGATGAATGGGTTTTAGACATGACTTTCCCACAACTCTCCTAACAGTACCAGGCAAAGAGTGAGTAAGCACAGAAAGAATGCCATGAGTTTTTGGAAGCGGAGGAGACAAGTTTGTGCAGACGTTTGGCCATGTTGTTGCAAAGTGAAGTTTTACAACATATTCTCAGGAAAGGCTGAGATGGATGTCTGTCTTTTAGTGCTGACTCAAGGTTTCCGAAAGCACTAGTCTGCATTAAGCATACTGTGTGACTGCTTTGCAAGTCACTATTTGCTTCAGTTGTGAATTCTATGTTTTCCCAAAAATCAAGTCTCTACACCTCAGAAGAGTATACTCTGCGAACATTACTTTTCTTGCCCACAGAAAATATGATGCCTCTTTTTTGGAGTGCATTATATATTGACAAAAGCGAATTGTTAACCTATTTTTCCAGCATTTCGATAATGATAATCAGACAATATTGTGGCAATCATCCTTGTGCTTAACCATACTTCTAAATGTCTTGACTCTTGTTTGTGGTTTACTAAGTATTCGCAACCCACAACCACAGGAAGTGAAGGAATTTTAATCATTAAAGGATTCCAACAATACATTTTATTATTTTAATTTGACTATAAACCATCGACTCATCATTTAAATTGAATTGACAGGTCTTTCGGGTGTTAGGAGGTTATTTAACATATTAAACTTGGAATTGCCTATTACCAGTTACAGAATTATTCTGCCATCCCTTAATATATATTTGGTCAATTTTGAGGATCCTTGGATGGAATTCGTCAGCTTTTTCTATTACTTGTACTGATATTTAGTGTTACCTGTGTCAGCATCAGAAGCATCTTTTGTAGTAGATGTTTTGAGTTGCTGATCTTGTGGTTTATTTTAGTGAAACAAGAGTGTGGTGGGAGGGTCAGGTAAACAGCAGAGGGAGGACACAGCCACTGGGCCTGACTCCGCTTGCCAGCACTTAGTGCAGAGCCTTATACAGACATGTCTAAGTGCTCCTGCACTGTGCTTCCTGTTAACCCCTCACTGACCACCATTGCAAGATGAAAAAAGGCCTCTAACAATACTTCCACAATATATTATTAATTTACACGCCCAGTGTTCAGATTTTTATTCACGTCATACAAGTGGCAGTTCTCCTCAATCCTTCCAGAGCCTCAGATTTTGACCCATTTGTGGTATGTAAAAGGAGAAGAAAACTCTTTAAGGCAACACTACAGACTTGGTTAGTGAGGCTCCATCAGCTCTTACTTGTGGTTTGTGGTAAAAGGATGACCAGAATAGATTGTTTATGGCTGCTGCTCTCGACCCGACACTGGTTCTACTGCCGGACCCATGAAGGGAGCTCCTGCTCAGCGGACTTCCCTCAGTGGTCCACACATGGATGAAGTGTGTAGCCGCATGCACCTGTCTGTCCTTGTGTGCGGCACATGAGCTTTTAAGGTCTCAGTGTCCGTATTTTTATCAATAATGCAACCGCTTACTCTCGGTCTCACTCTGAGTCCTCGCTTTCACTACCATTAAAAATGCATCCGTTTCCCCATGCCTGTCCCCTCCTCCTCATCCAATAAGTTTGTGCCGGCCTACACATGAGCTATATGATTCTCCAGGCTACCAGAGATGACACTTTCTAGTGTCTACTCAAAATCAATTGAAACCTTTTAATTTTGTTCAGACCAGATTTGTTTAGCTTCAACGTCTGTTTTTCATTTAAGAGTGGTCCTGGGTGTTACTATTTATTGATTATAAATATAGATGTTGCATATGGCAAATGTACAACAGATTTTGAGATGTAACTAGATTTTTGTAATTGATGTTGGAGTTGATTTGCAGTGGTAATGTGACTGTATGAGATGTGTCCTGTTACCGTTTTATGACCTGGAAGTTGACTCACAAGGACATCATCAGATTCAGTGAGCGAGTTTTCGGCAGATCACCCTATACAAAAAAAGCATGTCAAAATCTGAAGAGAGTCGCACCTTAACATAAAATCAAATCTATTTTGATCACAATATTTTCTTTTTTTAATTGAGATCTTTTGATTGGGTTCTGCCCGGGCAACAGGAATTGGGTGGTGTCTGTGACGCTTTGCCACAGGAAGCAGATTGCATCTCTGGTGGGACAGATGGAGGGAGGGAAGAAGTGGATTATGGGACTACAGTATACTCTAAGGGGGCAGCATGAAAAGAGACAGAGCCATGAGTATTGTATGGTTACAGTCATTTTTACAGTCACATGTTAATTGTTCTGATTAATACTTTCTCTTTTTGATCATTAGCTTTAAACTCACTAAAAAGGTTCTATTATCCATATTTCTATAAATCCCACAACTACAGAGCAGCAGCTATTGATTATTTTAGTAAGACTGTTTAACCCTCAACCACACTATAGTAGGGAACAGTACATTTTTGTTTAACATTTATTCAACCTGCCTTTTCTTGGGAAGAATTTCTCAGACGGCCGCTCAAGACTATCTGCTCTTATCTTGCATGGGGGTCACGCACATTCTACTGGATACTTACTCTAAGGTCAGACAGAGCTAAAGAATAGCTTGGACACCCACATCTCAGGCCAGGCTGGCTTGGATCTCTGACTGGGAACAATGGGAACATGATCACACCCATTTTGGAGCGTCTCTTTTCTAATGGATCAATAAACCTCTCCCAGACAATAGGTCAACAAGACTTCACCCACAACTACCACAACAACTACTCTAACCCTTTGTCTTCTCCTTTTGGTGTTGTACCAAACTCTTAATTTCAAATGTGCATGTTGTCCAATTTTGGTAATCAAGTTATGAACTGCAATAACTACAAGAGCCCTATTGCATAAATACTATTGCATTGCATTGTCATTTTGAAGCTAGTATGTAGAATAGGTGCATCACTTTTTCAAGACATGGCTTCTGGCTTTTATGAGCTCATTGCTCTCCTGTTTTCAAGAGCTTCTTTATATAAAATAAGCTGCCCTTCTATAATATTATCTTTTGCTTATTTTCCAGTGAATCAAGTATTTGCCAGGCTCGGGCCACTGTGATGATCTACGACGACGGCAACAAGAAGTGGCTTCCTGCAGGTGCTGGACCTCAAGCTTTTAGCAGAGTTCAGATCTATCACAATCCAACCAATAATGCCTTCAGGATAGTGGGACGAAAGATGCAAACAGACCAACAGGTATGTCTGCTTTGTGCTATGACTTTAATACATGCAGTATATAATTTCTGTTCTTCATTTTGGGCTATAGACAAAGATCAATAACTCAAACTCAACCAAAGGAATGTAAATGTGTGTACAATACAACATATTTCAGTGGAACACAGCTTGATATAGATTCTTATAAAACTGAGGGCTATATTAGTTTCTTTCACACAAGGTGGAGCTCTGAAACTGTATAAGAAAATGAGGACTCAGAAAATCAATAAAAGAAATAAATAAAGGCTACGGCAAATGCATGGAAACGTTTGTGGGAAACTTTGTCGCTGGTGAGAATGTGTCCGAGATTCAAGGGGTCAGAAGAAAAAGAATTTGAACAATCAAACGTTCATGTGGTCGTTTTCTCTGGAAAGCTAATGTTCAACATGCCATGGTAGCACATTGCATGGATGGAAAGAAGCTAAGGCAGATACCCCAAATTATACACTAAAGGCCCAATAAATCGGTCCATCTTCAGTGAAAAGTATGATTTGAGTTGAGTCTGATGAAACTGTGCAGGTAAAAATAAAACGACAAAGGAAAATGGCTGATTTCATTTATTCGCTTGGGTGGGACCATGGAAAAGTCCCCCCTGCAGCCTCAGTCTTTAATTGTTTAAACATTTAGACCTGAAATGGCTCCCCAGGGATGCCTTTTTAGAGTGGATTGCTTTTCCTGTGAGATAGTCTGTCTTGTCAACCATTTCCTGCGACCCAGTGTTCATTCAGTGTGTGTTATTGGAGACATGGATGGAAAATGCTTGGATACTAAAACAAATGAAGCAATATGAAACGTTCATCATGCCTATGTTCGTATGCTGCATTCAAGACTTTACCTTGTGTAAGTTATAGAAAAAGGCTCCACGAACAGCGAACAGTGTTAAAACTAGTTTGGCCTCTTTGTGTGTGTTGTCCTCTGCTCCGCTCCCCCAGCGCTGAGGAATCCAGAACCAAGTGTCGTCTCAGCACTTTCACTCCCCTCCAAACCAAAACTATTTTTCCTTCTGTTTCGGGTTTTTCTTCTGGCTGGAATAACTATTGGATTATTTATTTTTTTGCTTATTATTTTACTTATTTTCTAATGTTTGCTCGTTTTGATATATTTATTTTTATATTTATTTTGTTTAACCTTTTTTATTTTGATCCACTTTATTTCATGGATTTGATATCATCCATCATCAAGTTCTACACAATGTTTAGTAGTAGTCAGTAATACAAAAACCTTAACTGTTTTTGTGTAGTCTGGGTCTGCTTTTTACCCTCACCATAATTTCTGTTTGCCTTCTTCTGTTTTGCAGGTGGTAATAAATTGCCCTATAGTCCGAGGTTTAAAGTATAACCAGGCCACACCAAACTTTCATCAATGGCGGGATGCTCGACAAGTTTGGGGGCTCAACTTCGGCAGCAAAGAGGATGCGGCTTTATTCGCCAACGGCATGCACCATGCTCTGGAGGTGCTCAGCTCTATGGCAGATGCAGGTACAGCAAATACATAAACAAACAGTGACTTTAGACCGATAGCTTTAGGGCCGATAGCTTCACTTGACTCAACTGGTTAATACAAAAAAAGTCTGCTGTTAGGAGGAGAATTAATGCATCCGGCTATGCTCTTTTTGTGTCATTTTAAAACCAGTGCAGATCTGGGATAGCCATTTGATAGGCATTTATTTTCACTTGGTGGTAACTGTCAAAAAAACACACCTTTTAGGATTAGTTCGCTCCTCAGTTAGCAGGAGTATGTTTTGCTTTAACCATTCGCTGCTGTCTGGTAAACAACAATAATGTCTTTCCTCTAGATTCAATTCTCCAACATTCTTGTTCTGCCTTTTTAACCCTCTAGGCGCCACGGTCGACTTAAGTCGACAAGCTGCTCTACTGTTAAAAACGGCCGAGTGTGTCCAACTGAGTGTCAAAATTCATCCTGCCACTAGTTGGCAGACATGTCAGACTACCTCCCTGGCCCCAAAAAACGTCATGCTCCCATACAAAATATTCGAGCAAGACCGCGTTGAACCAGTGCGGAAATCATAGTGAAGCAGTGCAGCTGCGAGGGCAGCCTGCGAGTGTTATAGCACACCAAACACTAACTTTAGACACTTTGCATAGGGTCTGCAGTGGGAACAGTGTTTCTCAGAGTAAGGCCAAGTCATTGGGAGGTTCGGAGACTGGTTAGATTTGCGGAAAACAAGCCTGGAACTCGCCTCCGCTGAAGTTTCCGCCAAAGTCTCCGCTAAAAGTGCTTCCCACATATTTATTTTCATTCCTCCCGTAATCACAGGGACAGTAACGTGTTGGAGAAGCCTTGTCTTGTGTGCATTAGGCGAGAGAGATCAGGGGAGATGAGAGAGAGAGAGTGGGGGAGACATCTGCAGCAGGAGGGTCGCGGTGACGCGCATCACCTGGAGGCGCGCGTCTGGGCAGACTGCTCACAGCAGCAGCATGATTTGTATTTTTTACTATTTTTATGAACATTTACAATGTTACAGTGTGTGTTCATGTATTAGTGATCAATATATGTCTGTCAGTTAGAAAAATACAAATATTGTATGAAAATTCTAAAATCCACAATTTCTAACGCCAAATGACGTCATAATATGCAAATTAGATGGGGGGATTTATTCCCTACATAAACTTTGGACCATCCTTAATATTTTTCTATTTTACAGAAAGCCTTTATCTCTTATCACTTTCAAGTTATAGCCTTTTGAAATTAACATGTGAAAATCGAGCGTTTTGGAAAAAAACCTCTGGCGCTTAAAGGGTTAAATGCTCAATTTCGAAAAGTTTCTAGGCGTTTACTGTACATCACCTCAACCACTTTGTTTCCTGCTAAACTACAAACAAACATCATGGCTTCATCTCTGATCACCAATTGTACTGCGGGGTGCTATCAAAGCCCAATTTTTTTTCTCTAGTTGGAGAGTTTGATTGTCACTGGGAGGAATGACTTTCTGCGGTTTTCAGTCCAGCTCTGGGGCTAACTTAATAAACTAAACTTTTCTATAGTATAAATGGCCACACACACACACAATTGTAAAGCATTTTTGTAAATTGTGAAATACTAAAAATCAAAAGTTGACTTGATTACTTATTTACACATGTCGACTTGTTGTTTTCTGTGTTTCCTTTGTCCATCTCTGCCTTTTACACGTATGTATATTTATATATTGTCAGGATGTTAAATATAATTTGTTATTATCAAACCAGGTATGTGTTGTTTACTTGTGATGCTTCTTTTCTCAGGTTACGCAACTCTTCCCCGAGCAGTGGCAAATGGACCATCTCAAGAGGAGATTGAACAACAACGAAGGTAGCACTTAATGCTCTGGCTGCTTCATTAATTTTAAATGCCATGGGTTCACTGGATAGCTACCTAGTTATTGTTGTACTTTAATTTAATTTAATAAATGACTTTTGTATTGTGGGAAATGATTTTAAACGCGTCCCTGGTGGTATGGTGTGTTGTCATTTGAACAGGGACAGTGTACGTTACATGAATGAAAGTATTGCTATAACCTACTATATCAGGTTATATCAAAACTGCCAGTTCCCACCTGTAGTCCCTGGGCAGTTTGGGGTTGTTGTCATGAAAACAAACTTAAATGGTGAAGTTGGTGGGTAATACTGTACTTCCTTTCATTATTCTACTCTTTAAAAACTGAGCTTACATTTGCACTATCCCATTCTGCAGAGCTATACTTCTCAGACACAGTGCACAGATGTATACATTACACACACACATTCATACATCATGCACTTTTATACAATATTATAAACAACAGCACACAGACACACGCGTGCGCACACACAATTTTTGCTTGAGCGCAATCTTGTCTTTGTAGCCATTTTGCAAATGTACTACATGTAATAATGTAATGACGTGTTCACAGCAAAAAACACATCCATATAAACACAATAATCAATGATAAAAATCATGTGAGACAAATCTACATATGCATTTATGTAATCCAACAATAACAAATATAAATATATTTGTATTAAAAACAATCCAAACACTCTATGAAACATTTCTGATATTCAAAAACACAACTTTGTAGCAAGCCAAGACACCAATAAATTACTGCGGAGAAACTGTGGTGGTACCAGGCACGCACTTCATGGCATTAACCTTTTAATCTTATTTAGACTCGAAGATCTTCTGTGGGATGGGACCTGATTGGTCGCGCAGATGGCACGTGCATTCTGCCTCCTTTCATTACTTGCGCTTTAAACCCTCCTTAGTGACTATTAATAGTAAAGTAGTATCGATATCATTTACACATTTTGTCATTCCTAGCTAAATTACAGTGTAAACTTAGATGCATGAAACTCCCTGTACACAATGTTACTTGTAAATGTGAGGAAAGGCTGTATTTAAATGTAATAAATGTTCAGCTTTTGACAACAAATGAACGATACTATTTCACACAGAGAGAGATGTGTGTTTAATGCGGACATGGAATAGAGGCAAAGTGATCCAGCTTGAATTAGGCCACCTTATGCAGCTGTGGGCTTAGCAGATGCTCATTAATTAAATTGCATAAATTCCACTAAATCGTGTGCATTAAGTTGTTCACAAATGAGTAACTATATGTGTCAATTAAACCGGTAGAGTTATACTTAACCTTGTGTTATATGTCACTGTATTATATATTTTTTCTTTTTGTTTATGTGAGACCATTGTGCTTTGTATCTTCAGATTAGAGCAACAACGACTGGAGCAGGAGCGTCTGGAGAGGGAGAGACAGGAACGCGAACGCCTGGAAAAAGAGCGACTGGAGAGGGAAAGACAAACAGCTGCAGGTCAGAGAAAGTCTGGTTTGAAGAATTATTATAGACCCCATCTGTATCTTGTGTTACTGCTCGTTCAAATTGTTAGCATACGGAACCGGGGGGAAAAAATCTCTTTACTATATACTAATTTTTCTTTACTATTCAAATTGTTAGTCTAGTTCAGCCTACTGGTCAAAACAACAAAGATAAAACTCTACTAAACACAAACTTGTATATGCTGCACATCACACCAGCTGTGCCAGAACCAACACGTGTCCAAATGAAGCGCTGTCTGATTAGTTGAACTACTTGAAATGATCTCTAACAACAGAATACTTCTTTTAAATAAAATCACATCACTCACTAGCATCAGCTTCTTTCATCTCAGAGATTTATCCACCCCATACAGTCTCCAGCGCTTTCTCTCCTACTCTGCTCTTACGTAACATCCCGTCTATACAGTGGGAGCTATTTTTGTTCTTTTTGATGTGTTTTTTTGTTTATTGAACCTATGTTTAAACAAAATGTTTGTATTATTAATTTACTTTTACTAGAGATTAATATTGCTTTTGTACTTAAACAGTTTAATCAGTGACCAGCCTCCTTGTCTCCTAATTGGCCTTGAAAAAGACATAACAGTTAACCATGCTCCATCCATGGAAATGTTTTATTTCTGGAAGAGAAGTTACAAAGCAGTGTGGCTCCTCATAAATGATAAACTACAGGTTTAAAGAAAGAAGTTGTGTTTCTGCAAATGTTAAATAAAAGAAAAGGAGCAGAAAAAGTAGTGTTCAATAACCAAACACCTGGAGTTGCTCCTTGGCGAGGGAGGAGGGGTCAGTGATGATCTGGGACTTATTTTTCAAAACATTTGACAAAAAGATGAGGTTTTGACCATGTAGTAAATGTTGTAATGTCTTTCTCAGCCATGCCGCCTCCTGCACCTCCGCCTCCTCCCATGGCCCCAGCTGCACCTGCACCTCCTCCTGCTCCTCCTACTCCTCCTGCTCCTCCAGCTCCTCAGGCCCCTCCTGCCCCCCCGGCCCCCCCTCCTCCACCAGGACCTCCTGCATCAGGGGGCGTTCCTCCGCCCCCTGCTCCTCCTCCTCCTGCTGGGGGGATCCCACCTCCTCCACCACTGCCCGCTGCGGGAATAGGTGGAAGTGATAGTGGAGGAGGTGGAGGAGGCCTGGCAGCAGCTATAGCAGGCGCCAAACTACGGAAAGTTTCAAAGGTCAGTAGATGGATAATAGATAAGTCTCCCTCTCTACAGTTTATATAATATATTAGGATTATACACGACAAACTATTGTATTCTATTATTAATGTGTGCTCTTTGTGTATTGTTTTGTTGTGTTCCAAGTGTTTATCCTGCGAAATAGATAAAGGTTATATTTGTGATTTCTAGTTAAGAGTCAAAATCACGTTGGCTCTATAATGCAGTGTTTCCCAACAGAGGGCACTTGGACCCCTAGGGGTACGTAAAGGCATTACAGGGTACCTTGTAATGCCACCTTGAGATGTTATTTTAATGATCGTGCAAACATTGATGGTTAACATGTATACCCCATGATATGTTCCACGTCCTTTTTAAAGCTAAAAAAAAAAAAATCCCAATATCATTATTGTAACTGTAAACATTGAACCCATAATGCAGTATTAATGATACTTGGTTACTATCAGTCTTCTATAACTAACTTATGATTCAGTGTTCGAGTCCAAGCATGGACTTAATTTTTAGAATGTCAAGTCAAAATATCTGCATGAAGTAAAAATGCATGAGCTAAAAACAAACTTTCCACAATTTTAATCATTGAGGCCGTTTTAGAATATTGTAGCCTAAAAACACAGATCTTAAGCGTTTTAAGCTCCCATTGTAAAACGTAAGCTATCGTTTTCTCTCCGGTAACAACAGGGGGCGCTCATACTCTGGGAACCACTGCTATACGAATACACTCTGACAGTATAGTAGAATTGAGATCTCGAGAGTAACAATTGTGATTAATATCTAACTTATCGTCTGTCCTTCAGCAGGAGGAATCGGCTCCATTAGCCCGAGCGGATGCCAGTCGCAGCAGCAACTCTTCGATTGGTGGAGGAGGAGGTGGAGGTCTTATGGGTGAAATGAGTGCCATCTTAGCACGGAGGTACGATGTCTTACTAGATCAAAAATAAATGAAATTCCACCTATACCACATGCTTCGCTTATGTGTTGTAGGAGAAAAGCTGCAAATGCCGGAGAGAAGGCACCTGTGAAAAAACAAGAAAATAATGTAGGAATGAATGTTTTTGTTTTGGATTTGCATGTCTACAAATAACAGCATTATTAACTCAATCTGTGTGTGTTTTTAAGGATGATTCCGATTCTCAAAGTCAAAACGGTGAGAACTTTACAGCGACATCTTTATTGTCCGTAGGTTTGTCTATAAAACTGACATAATGAATACCTGCCCTTCTGTTCACAGACTCTGTCAGAAGACCATGGGAGAAGTCTTCAATGATCAGGTGGGTTTCCAAACGACTTTTCTGCTTTGTCTTGTCATGTGATGTTACCCCATAGACCTGGGCCTCTCCACTCTCATCCCATTTCTAAGCACACAGTCTATGTCTTACTAACAGGAATAACTCCATCAGCAAGAACATGGACTCCATTTCCCAAGGTTCCAGGTATACCCATTGTTGCGTCACTCATACTTTAGTCCCTTTGGCTTTCTCCTTCTTCAGGTTTCAAGAGGCTGTAACCTGCTAGGCTGTTCTGTTCTCCAGCTGATGGCATTATAGCGCCCTCTTTTGGTGAAGGAAAAGGCATGCACCCATAGGATTAGGCTGAAAAATCACTGTTACAATGTGATTTCTTTTTACTTTTCTGAATAGGTGGTTTCTGGATCAACTCTGATTTGTGTAGTATCTTATTAACAGGGTTTGTACAGTCATGAACAACCTGGGACATTAGGATAAAATTAAAAATGGTTTGGACTATAATTAGGTTCAGAATATTTATATTTATCACCCCCTTTTTCACCATGATACAAATCAAACGTGTAACAAACACATTTGATTTGTAACTGTCGTTAAAATGCATTTGAAAATACAATGCACTTTAACATTATCCCTTTTATGTTTTGAAATCCATAAGAGATTTTATCCAAAATTGACCTCCTAAAAGGTTAAGAAAAAATCATGAAACTTTTCTAATCTGTACAACCCACAAAAAGAATAAAAGAGAGTTGCCTTCTTTCTGGTGATGGTGGGAACTCCTCTCACACTTTTAAGCAGATGCAACCAATTACTTTTATTGGTTCTCAATCTTGCTCCTTTTTTTTCCTTTTAGACCAAAGTCAACAGGAAATAACGATTCAGGTGGTGGTTTTGATGACTCTGACTTAGAAAAACTAAAACAGGTATGTGGCCCAAAACTACACATTTGAATATTAACCGAGCACAACACTGCCCTGTGACTCTGACCTTTTCCCCCTGCTTGTCTTATCTGTTTCTATTTGTAGGAGATCCTTGAGGAGGTGCGAAAAGAACTGCAGAAGGTTAAAGAAGAGATAATTGGAGGTGATTTTTATTTCATTATTATTTCAATGGTGAAATATGTAACTTGTTAAAGGTTGATCCACACCCTGCTTGTTTTCATATGGATGAAACTAGTGGTTCCGAGAGTACATTTTTCAGGGTTAATTGTTACTTCTCAGGGTTAATCAGCTGTGTTATGAATATAACCTCTGTTTGGTCTTTGAGTATTTCTTTTTTTGAACTTTATAAAGTTTATTTACACATTTTTCCACATGCTGTGTTTTAACAGTGCCTTTTTGGTGTAAAACACTGGGTTGTCGTTACCTCATAACCTGTTCCCTTATGTTCCGCCCTTCACCTCAAAGTATTTCAATTATACATTTCTATGGGGTTGATGAATAAGATTTTAACTTCTGGAACGGACTGCCATGTGGGCGGGACTTTACAGCTTCATTTTCTTTGCCTTCTAGAATCTAACTTTAATCAATTATGCATTTATTAGTGTTTTAGTACCCTGAAAATCCTTGATAAACAAGCATTCTTAATGAACTTTGCTACATATTCATAAATCATTAACTATATCAGAATCTTCAAAAATGAAACGGAAGGTGATTGGATTTCAGATAGATGAAACTTTGAAGAAGTTTGCATTTTTCAGGATACCCCTCCCCATACATATGTTTAACTAGGTTTCACAGAACTGCTTTATAGAAAAAAATACTCCCCACAAAGACAATGTTAATGGGTTTTTTTTCTTTTTTCTCCACAGCATTTATTCAGGAGCTACAAAAAAGAGCCACGTAATTGTGGTGTTAAATCAGGTATTACAGAGGGTGAAATAAATCCTGGCTATTGGATTCTATCTTCACTGCGCCTTCCCTTGAAGCCCAGGAATGTCGCGTTTTCTCCTGGACACTTAAACTCTGCCTCACAAAAACGTGTGTGCAGACCAATGCTTATGTGTACTATATCAGACAAAATCACTTCATGTACAACTGTATCCCGGGGCACTTCCTCAGCATTCACCAATACTGCACCGGCAATGCCATATGTCCTTGTTTTGTATGTTCCCATTGTGCTTTTGATGATTTAAAAATGTAATTCAGGCCATAGAACAATAGGCACAACTTCCTTTTCAAATTTTGTTTAAATGTACATTCAACAAAAATCCTGTTTTTTTGTTTTGTTATTAGGTTGACTTTTAACCGTTAATTTTTGTATTCAGGGATGATGTATGACCATATTTACTGTAAGAACCATATGCTGGCATGCAACAAATGCTGGCAACAAATGTTTTATTTAATGTACTCAAAACAACCACTGCTACAGAAAAAAGAGAAATTTACCAGGTGAAATGGAGAGAAGACAAACGCACCTGGCATATCACAGTTCAGAAAAACTTTGAACGACAACAGCTTTTGTGAAAAACGATGTAAATCTATCTGCTGTATAGAAGTGCTGTATACGGAGGAGACGGGCAAAGGGAACCTGGTCGCAATGTTAATGTAGTTTAATAATGTGTCTATGCACTTGTTTTGGAGGACATTTGTGTGCGTGCCGAGTGTGTCGCACTGCCTTGATAGACTATTCCCTCACTCAAAATGAATTAATTCTTGTGGCCAGTGATATTTTACTGTGCTTCTTATTTCCATTCTAGTTGTTTTCAAATTGTTGAGATATTGATACGGCCAAGATGAGGTATACTCATTTGGCCAAGACCAACTGCCTTGAGAATAAATATATAAATATATATGTATATGGAATTATATATCTTTTGAGGGAAATTAAATGGTGTTTCTATTTTTAATTGAATTGCCTGGTGAGCGGGTAATTGGTTCATTTGATTGTTTTCTTATGAGATGTTATTTTGGGTGTACTACTTTTTTTCTATAGAATCTAGGCTTTTTACACTGAAAATAAAGAACGGCTTAGAGACACTGGATTAGAAATGCCTTTATAGTCGAATACAGCTTCTTTTAAAATGCACTTGTCTTGCCTTGTCTTTTTGCCCTTCTAAAACATTACGAATTTTATGAAGCAAAAGTGAATTCATAAATCCCTGAAAAGAGACTAATGAGCACATGTCACACACATGCAGGTTCACATGAATACAAGCAGACATGAGGTCAAAATCTCAAATAATTACACTTATATGAGACTTGCCTTTGCAATTATAAATTTATAAGGAGTGCTGATGAAAACAACGAAAACATAAATTAGTTAAAAATGATAAACATGAGTCATAATATTTGCATTATAATTTATGTATACAATATCATACAAACCATACAATAGATAACGCAAACATGTCACTGATAAGTCTCAGACCTCATCCATCTTGAGCAGTGTCCTTCCAGAGCTCTGCTTCCGGATTGGAGGCGCTGTGCAGTTTCCGCCATTGCGGATTTTGGACGGAGATCAGCGCTCACCGCTGCTACCATTGATGCGGCGCCGACAACACGAGCACAACGGGGATAACCACTCTGATTTTACTGACCGTAGTCACCGTGAATATTAAAAATAGGCATAAGGACATAGTTCTCCCGGGATCCGCCTGTACAGTACTGGCTCCGACCTACACATCAGTGAGGAGGTCGTAGCTAGCAGCCGTGCTAGCTACTAGCGCTACAGCTAGCTGTATTTCAAGACTCCGTAGAGGCTGAAGATACAAATATGGCTCAAATACTGCCTATCCGGTTCCAGGAGCATTTGCAGGTACGTGAGAAAGGGTTTATTTACACACAGTCAAGTCGACATTGTTTGATCCAGCGTTTGGGGATTTTGACAGATCGCTAATGTCAATCCCGCAGCAAATGAATGACCTCCCCTCCCCCGTTTAGCTCCGAGCTAACAGCCTTCGCTACGTGCGGCTTTTATTCACTTTATATAACATTACTATTGAGATTGCTAGTTTATAGTCAAAGATGACGTATATCATCTATGCTTGGACGGCGTTGTGCAGAAAGCGACTGTCGCCGCTCATTCTAGCAGGTGTTAGCTTCGGGATGTGAGGATGCACCAGCCGCATCTCTGGCCTCATACTCGCCTCTTCATCCTCACACTTTGCACGACTTGGCTCTCATAAATCCGTAATGGTAGACACTGCATTAAAATGTAGCGCTCATCATTACGCATGTTGCGGTTTGACTTTATGTTGGATGACGACATTATAAATCTTTTACGTGTGACTTTAAGTCACGACTCAGGACCATTTTAATATTGTTATTTAATTTTTTTTTTTTTTTTTTTTTAAATCTCAGGCAAACAACCTTCTTTTGTACAATTATTGATTTCCCCATTGGTTTTATGGTCTGCACACATCTGCACCAAATTACAATGCAGCTTTGTAATGATGCTGTCAGTTGCATTCTGAAGTATTCACTAAACATGTTTTTGTCTTGTGTCCTGTGTATCTCAGCTCCAGAATCTGGGAATCAACCCAGCCAACATTGGTTTCAGCACTCTGACAATGGAGTCTGACAAGTTCATCTGTATAAGGGAAAAGGTGGGTGAGCAGGCCCAGGTGGTCATCATTGATATGGCAGACCCCAACAATCCCATTCGGAGGCCCATCTCAGCGGACAGTGCCATCATGAACCCAGCGAGCAAAGTTATTGCTCTTAAAGGTATGTTCATTTCGTCACAACATCTAGAGAGGATTATAGAAAAGATCATGAAAAGAGTTTAACTAAGCTGTTTTAGCCATAGTAATGTTTTGTGCATATTAGATCCCAACACTTTGTTTGCATTATCAGCCAATCATATACTTGTGTCAGCTTTTATTTGATGTTTATGTAGGTCATCTCATTTGTTTGTTGACGTAGCTGTAACTGTAAAATACATGTATTTAGAAAACTAGCTCATAACAGTGAAATGCCATTCAGCCATGAATTCTGTGTCTATTTTGCTTGTTTTTGCTCTTTTTCATTTCTTACCGCTTTCTTTCGTTTGCAGACGGTGAGTTGAATTTTACATATCATGAGTTATTAAAGTCTTAATTTGTATGCACTGTCAAATTATTGCACAGTACTGATGATGGAAATCAATTGATACTTGTGTTCACAAGGCAAATCAGTACACTTGTAAAAGCAGCTTCATTGGCTGTTTCCTTTTCCTTTCAACCAAATGTGTTTCTCCTGTTTATAACACATATTTTACATTGCTGTTGACCATTTTCCAAACTATTTATTTATTCAATTTGGAATTATCCATTGTCTGTTTATGTATTAAACTGTTTTATTGTAGTGGCAATTGTTTATAGCTTCTAAATGTCTTTAGTGAAACATTTTAAAAGATTTCTAAAGTTATATTTAAATTATATTTAGATATTTTGGTGCCACTAGGTCTTTGGGAAAATGGTTGGTAGTAATTTAAAATACTGTCTGTTTACAGAAACAGAGGAACACACATTTTGGGCTTATTACGCCAGCTACTCATTACACAGTGAACTTTCCCATAGAAACTCCCAATCACTATACGTCAGTGCTTTGCAATGGATTAAGTAATGCAGCTCCACCACAAATACATGTGCTTGTAGTTGTTTTAAATTTGTTTTGGGTAATTTAATGGGTTACAGAAAAACACGCATGTTATTGGTGAGAAAATCATAATGTTGTTGTTAGTACTTTACTGGAAGAAAAACGGTAAATGTTCTAAGTATCATTCAGAACACTGGAGATAAATTCTACAATGTTTTCCTATAATCAGGCTGCTGTGCTTTGTTGCTTTGCATTCAATTAAAGTGTATTTTGTAGGTTTAATGTTATGCAACCAGCCACTGCATCTGCAGTCCTTAAAGATAATGTGTAATTCATTTTTAGTATTTACAATTCATTTTATTAAAATTTAGTTTTTAACAGCACTGTGGTTTTTAGTATTACAATCACTAAAACAAAGGCTTCCTCATAAAAATGTTGAATTGGTCACATGGGCAGGACTTATGATTGACAGTAGTCCTCGTCTTCACATTAGGCTAGCACCGCTCTCCTCAACGTCTTCCTTGTGAGTGTTTTGCATCAGCGGTAACTGAATGCAGATCCATCACTGGTTGCCCTTCTGTTGGTCTTGCCTCTTTGTTTTGACCCTAATTCCGGCTTGTTGTGTAGTCTTGTGTGATTTAAATCAGATCCCCATACACCAGCATTTCTTCAACTGTTGAAATTGGCTTGCCCACATACATTATTTAATACATTTCTGGTGGTGGTCATAAAAAAAAGAGAGAATTTCCATTTTAAATAAATTGTCTATATTTACATTTCCAGCTGCAAAGACCCTTCAGATCTTTAATATTGAGATGAAGAGCAAGATGAAGGCCCACACAATGACAGATGACGTGACTTTCTGGAAGTGGATCTCCCTCAACACGGTGGCACTGGTCACAGATAATGCCGTATATCACTGGAGCATGGAGGGCGACTCACAACCAATCAAAGTCTTCGACCGCCACTCCAGCCTCGCAGGTTGCCAGATTATCAACTACCGCACTGACGCCAAACAGAAGTGGCTGCTACTTATAGGCATTTCAGCACAGGTGATTGGAAATATGGCCGCAATCGTTTTTTTACCGTGCTTTGTCTTGGTTAAATTTGCTATAATTGTTGTTTTTACATCTATAGCAAAATCGGGTGGTTGGAGCCATGCAGCTGTATTCAGTTGATAGAAAGGTGTCTCAGCCCATTGAGGGACACGCGGCTGGGTTCGCACAGTTCAAGATGGAAGGAAACACTGAGGAGTCCACTCTGTTTTGTTTTGCAGTGCGAGGACAGGCAGGAGGAAAAGTATGGTCTCATTTCAAAGGACAAACTTCCCCCATTTGCACATATCTCTAATTCTTTCTTCTCTTTTTAGCTGCATATCATTGAAGTGGGCACTCCTCCCACAGGAAACCAGCCATTCCCAAAGAAAGCTGTTGATGTTTTCTTTCCTCCAGAAGCACAAAATGACTTTCCAGTCGCCATGCAGGTTTGTTTGCGTAACTGTTTTTATTCCACCAAAAGTACACAAGATAATAGTGCTGCTAATTTATTTACAAATATCCCTGTTTTTGCTCTCTCTCAAACTTAAGATAAGTTCTAAGCAAGATGTTGTTTTCCTCATCACCAAATATGGCTACATCCACCTCTATGACCTTGAGACTGGGACCTGCATATACATGAACAGGATCAGTGGGGAAACCATTTTTGTCACAGCGCCACATGAGCCCACTGCTGGCATCATCGGAGTCAACAGAAAAGGACAGGTAATGCCAAATCTAGTGTTCTTTCAAAGTGGTTTATCATACTGTATCTATTTCAATTTTCTCTTTGACTAAATGTACATGCAGTGTTGAGTAATTTTGCCTGAAAATGCCAGCTACATCTCAAAAATGAAATATTCGTCTCCCATAGGAAACACAATAATGCTATAGATTGTTCGGTTTTATAGTCAATTTCAGTTGGAGGGCAGGTGACAATACAACTTTATGGGAAAGAAGTAATCCAAACATTTTCCCAGATCATCATTTAATAGTGCTTCGATTCATAAGCCCACCATATCATATCACCACATCCATGTTTTAAGAAAATAATTAGACCGTAGTTGATGTGTACTGACAAAGAATATGTTGAACTTTGACCAGGAATTTGAAGATTATACTTCTGATTTTTCAGCTGACCCTGCACCACAATCTGTAACTTAATGCTCTTTGGAATGTTCCGGTTTCACATGAACGCAACCTTTTGAATACAGGAAATGAAAGATGAATAAGATTAAACCACACTCAAACGTTAATACCGCTTTTCACAATCTCACTGTAGACCAAAAACCGTGCTACACAATTTCTTTTGCTAAAATCGAAAATCTATTGACTTTCCTTGTGCTGCATAAACAGAAAATGGTTGTTCTTCTGCGTGCTATCGCTTGCGGTCCTTTTTGTATACTGAATATTTTATGGGCCCAGATGGTGATAATGACAAATGTGCTTTTTTCAGGTGTTGTCTGTGTGCGTAGAAGAGGAAAACATCATTCCCTACATCACCAATGTGCTCCAAAATCCGGATCTCGCTCTCCGCATGGCCGTCCGCAACAACCTGGCTGGGGCTGAGGAGCTCTTTGCCCGCAAGTTTAACACACTTTTTGCTGCAGGCAATTACTCAGAGGCAGCTAAAGTGGCAGCCAATGCGCCTAAGGTAAAGCCCATATGTTCTAATACATTCCATTATTGCTGCATTCTTCAGCGTCGACTGCGACTAACCCTCTTTCCCTCCAGGGTATTCTGCGGACTCCAGACACAATCCGCCGCTTCCAGAGTGTCCCCGCTCAGCCCGGGCAGACCTCCCCTCTGCTTCAGTACTTTGGCATCTTGCTGGACCAAGGCCAACTGAACAAGTTTGAGTCTCTGGAGCTCTGCAGGCCTGTCCTCCAGCAGGGGCGCAAGCAGCTCCTGGAGAAGTGGTTAAAAGAGGACAAGGTGTGTGGATACTATCAACACTTCTGTGCTCTCATTAAAGACATTATAATTAAAGTATAGTTGCATTTCTGTCTTTTCAGCTGGAGTGTTCTGAGGAACTTGGAGACCTGGTTAAGTCTGTTGATCCCACCCTTGCCCTCAGCGTCTACCTCAGAGCCAACGTCCCAAACAAAGTTATTCAGTGTTTTGCAGAAACTGGACAGTTTCAGAAGATTGTCCTTTACGCCAAGAAGGTTTGTGTTAGTTGGTATTTTTGCATAGATATTCCAATTTGGTTCAAAACGCAAAAGGATGCATACGCCTTTTTTAGTAGACATTTTTTTTAAACCATTTTTTTTTTGTCAGGTGGTCTACTCGCCAGATTGGATTTTCCTTCTAAGAAATGTAATGCGAATTAGTCCGGAACAAGGCCTCCAGTTCTCCCAGATGCTTGTTCAAGATGAGGAGCCACTTGCTGACATCACACAGGTCAAATAAAAACACAATCGGATCTTCCTTTTGATCCGTCCAGAAGTACATTTCCCATAAACTTCATTACCTTGCAGATTGTGGACGTGTTCATGGAGTACAATCTGATCCAGCAATGCACATCGTTCTTGCTTGATGCCCTGAAGAACAACAGGCCCATGGAGGGCCCCCTGCAGACACGACTGCTGGAAATGAATTTGGTCCACGCACCACAGGTAGAGATTTGAATGTCCTTTTTTTTGTAACCAATGTTCTGACTTACAACATCATCAAATGAATATTGGCTTACGTTTATGCAACAATGTCATATCAGGTCGCAGACGCCATCCTGGGTAACCAGATGTTCACACACTATGACCGCGCACACGTGGCCCAGCTGTGTGAAAAGGCCGGCCTTCTTCAGAGGGCACTGGAGCACTACACCGACCTGTACGACATCAAGCGGGCTGTCGTGCACACTCACCTCCTCAACCCAGAGGTGCAATAAGTGCCATTATAGTTAAACCACTATCTTTATCGCTTTTGTATAAGATGTGTAATCCCCTGTTTATTTCATAGTGGTTGGTGAACTTCTTTGGCTCCCTCTCAGTGGAGGACTCTCTGGAGTGTCTCCGCGCTATGCTCTCTGCCAACATTCGTCAAAACCTTCAGATTTGCGTCCAAGTGGCCTCCAAATACCACGAACAGCTCACGACCCAGTCCCTCACGGAGCTGTTTGAATCATTCAAGAGCTTTGAGGGTGAGGACACAGACATTGACCTCTAGCAGTGAAAGTAGCTGTGTGTTAAATATGCTATGGTTTTTGTGCAGGTCTTTTCTACTTTTTGGGGTCCATTGTGAACTTCAGTCAGGATCCAGAAGTCCATTTCAAGTACATTCAGGCCGCCTGCAAAACTGGACAAATCAAAGAGGTCGAGAGGATCTGCAGAGAGAGCAACTGCTATGACCCAGAAAGAGTGAAGAACTTTCTCAAAGTAAGACATTTGAGATGAGTTACGATAACTGAAAATACTGAATGAATGTAAGTCTCACAACTAGATTATCTTGTTTATTTAGTTATTTAATTGAATGACTAATAAAGTAGAATTGTTAAGGGGTAAACTTATATTTCAGTGGTTGGTATCTAAATGTGCATCATTTACATTGTGAATTTTTTTTACAAACTTAGTCTTAATCTTTACATGTGCTTTTGTGATGAATAACCTTCAATGTAGGTGCACAAAATCCACAACATATCTTAATACTTTTGTACATGAATGTTTAGATAATATTTCACTGGGCAATTTTCAGTGTTGTAACATGCTTAATTACCTTTTTGTTATTATTCACAGGAAGCCAAGTTGACTGATCAGCTGCCTTTAATCATCGTGTGTGACCGCTTTGATTTTGTCCACGATCTGGTCCTATACCTGTACCGCAACAGCCTGCAGAAATACATTGAAATCTATGTGCAAAAGGTGAGCGACCACTATTCCTCGTGATTATCAACAGGGTTAATAATGGCTCTTTTAACATTTCAGGTAAATCCAAGCAGGCTGCCCGTAGTCATTGGAGGTCTGCTGGATGTAGATTGCGCAGAAGATGTTATAAAAAACCTAATCCTGGTGGTGAGAGGGCAGTTCTCCACAGATGAACTGGTCGCAGAGGTGGAGAAAAGAAATCGGTAGGTTATTGTAATGAAAACTTTTGTTGCATACACCACCGCAATTTGTTTCGCATCATTTTACCAAACGTTACAGGTTCATGGTTACTTGTGTGTTTTCATTTTCTATGTTTTTATTTTAAAGTAGCAATAGTGTATTAGTTTCATGTGAAGTCATCCTTAAATGGCCCTACTATGTCAAAAGGCATAAAAAAAAGCTCTTTTCGAATACTTCAGCTGACATATTAGAATTTCAAAATTAGTTTTACAGCCCCTAATTTTTTTTATTGATTTCATTTCGATATCCCGCCCTCCACCGTTTTACCAATCAGAAAGTCTGTGATCCGGGTTGCCGCATCGAGCGAATCTCACTTGTATACTAACATGTGGCCTAAATTCAAAAAAAGGTCTCGTTAGGATTCTCAAATCATTAATGACATAACAAGGAATAAAACCGGGATTTCTATAAGGGCCTTTGTGAAAAAGGTGTTGGTCATAGATTTGTTGTTGCCAAAACTCTAGTCTATTCAGATATTATAGATATTATGGATTCGTCTGCATATCTGGCAACCTGAGTCAGGGAGAGTAGGAGAGGTCGCAGTGCCACTTTTCGCCATATTTTTACATACTGCTCCTTTTTAAAGGTTTGTTTTTAATCGTATTTTTAAATTGTGTATTTTAATGTTTTTGATTTATGCCTGATGTGATATGGGTTGTGAGGTGCTTTGTGTTGCCTTGTGTAGGAAAGGCGCTCTGCAAATAAAAGTTGATTTATCGATTGTCACCATTCTTTCTAGATTAAAGCTGCTTCTTCCTTGGCTGGAGGCCCGCATACATGAAGGTTGCGAGGAGCCTGCTACCCACAATGCATTAGCCAAGATTTACATCGACAGCAATAACAACCCGGAGCGCTTCCTTCGAGAGAATCCATTCTACGACAGCCGCGTCGTAGGCAAATACTGCGAAAAGCGGGACCCCCACCTGGCCTGTGTGGCCTATGAGCGGGGGCAGTGTGATCAGGAGCTCATTAATGTGAGTGTTTTCCAAATGCAGCTGGAGAATGTTACGCACCGGCAACTCTTTATTTAACGTTTAATCTTTTCCTATCAGGTTTGCAACGAGAATTCACTGTTCAAGAGTTTATCTCGATACCTGGTGCGTCGCAAGAACCCAGAGTTGTGGGCCAGTGTCCTTCTGGAGACCAACAACTACAGAAGACCACTCATCGATCAGGTCGGAGTCTTTGGAGATGCTTTGTCTGCTGTAGTTTTTCATCTATTACTGGAGAAACGTGGAAAATTAGAATATTGTTCTAAAGTCCATCTACTTCTGTAATTCACCCTATGATGTGAAACTATTATAGGATTGACTTATTACATGCAAAGTGAGCTTTATCAAGTTTTTATCTGTAAAAAGGCTGAAGGTTGATGGTCATGGCTAACAGCTTATCTAAAAAAAGAAATAAAACCTAATTCTTAAGATTATGGCTTACGATCACATTTCAAAACATTCTGAAGTATGTTTATCATTACGTTGGTTTCACATTTTGAGTTAAAAAAAAAATACAATATTCTACTTATCTGAGTTTCTCTTTACATAAAATATATTGAATCTTAAAGGAAAATACAAAAACCTAGAACAAAAGCTTTTAGAACTAAATTTTACATTACACTGTACATCAATATATTCCCATGAAAGACTCGTTTTATTGGTGGGATTGAAGTTTTTAATGCTGAAATTGTCTTTGCTGATCTCAGGTCGTGCAGACAGCGCTGTCAGAAACCCAGGATCCAGAAGAAGTGTCCGTCACAGTCAAAGCTTTCATGACCGCTGACCTCCCCAATGAGCTTATTGAACTTTTGGAGAAGATTGTCCTGGATAATTCTGTCTTTAGTGAACACAGGTGAGAGGGATTTGACGTTCCCAGTTGGTAAATCTCCTTTTCCGTCACTCATGCCAGCGAAACGCACACAAAGCATTAAATTATTTACAATGAATTGAAATTGTTTTTGGTATTTGTTTTAGAAACCTGCAGAATCTGCTCATCCTGACCGCCATCAAGGCTGACAGGACACGTGTCATGGAGTACATTAACCGCCTTGACAACTATGACGCCCCAGACATTGCAAACATCGCCATCAGCAATGAGCTGTTTGAGGAGGCATTTGCTATTTTTAGAAAATTTGACGTCAACACCTCTGCAGTGCAGGTGTGACTCCTCAACAGTGATTGGATTTGAGTGTTTCCCCATCCTCTACACAGTGTAATAAATGCTTTCTCTACATGTTATTCTAGGTTTTGATTGAGCACATTGGTAATCTGGACAGAGCGTATGAATTTGCAGAGCGCTGCAATGAGCCTCCAGTGTGGAGTCAGCTGGCAAAGGCCCAGCTCCAGAAGGGCCTGGTCAAAGAAGCCATTGACTCTTACATAAAGGCTGATGACCCCTCTGCATACATCGAAGTGGGACAGGCGGCAGCTCAGAGCGGTGAGAAAAAATTTAATCCGATAATATGGGTTAAAAGACACCATGCCACTGAGACCTTTAGTTATTTTAATTATTATTTTTTTATCACCAACCATGCAACTTCTGGTATTTGTCCTAATGCTTTTAAAACTCAAAATAATTCCAAAATAATTTTAAGAGTGCAACTGTATGTCTTCAATCACATCTTTTTTTATACAATATATGTTTATCATAAAAGCATTAGAATTCCCAACCATTTAGATTTAGGGCTGTTTTTATTGATCCTGATAATTTCTTATCCGTTGCACATCTATTGTTCACATATCAAATAAATACTTAAAGTCTTGACTGACTTGCCGTAAATTGTTAATTATTTGCTGTTGATTGCATTATAGGAAACTGGGAGGATTTGGTGAAGTTTCTGCAGATGGCTCGGAAAAAGGCTCGTGAATCGTACGTTGAAACTGAGCTGATATTTGCCCTGGCGAAGACCAACCGCCTGGCAGAGCTGGAGGAGTTCATCAATGGTCCCAACAATGCACACATCCAACAAGTAGGTTTCACATTGGATTTGGGGTAATTTATTATCAGAAATAGGCGAATTAAACCTAACTTATTTTTTAAACCAAGGATTGAAATGTAAAGATTCAATTCAAATAATGGATTGAAATTGGTTCTTTGCAGTACATCTGTCTTTTGATTACAATGATACGCCTAGATTTCCTTTTTATAGAGCGAATCATTGAGTGTTTTTGCCTCAGGTTGGTGACCGCTGTTATGACGACAAAATGTACGACGCTGCAAAGTTGCTATACAACAACGTGTCCAATTTTGGGCGTCTGGCTTCCACTCTGGTGCACCTGGGGGAGTACCAAGCCGCCGTGGATGGAGCTCGAAAAGCCAACAGCACACGCACATGGAAGGAGGTAAAATCACATCAGCTTTAGCAGCTCGCCTTCATTATATCCATTCTCATACACTTTCCACTTTGTTTCACAGGTCTGCTTTGCCTGCGTGGACGGTAAAGAGTTCCGCCTGGCTCAAATGTGTGGCCTGCATATAGTGGTACACGCAGATGAACTAGAGGAACTGATCAATTACTATCAGGTACGCTCTCCATCACTGACACTTCCGCCAATGGGTAAGTTGGGTGAAATGAAGCTCAATCCATTTTTGCGGCACGCTTTTAGGACCGTGGATATTTCGAGGAGCTAATCACCATGCTGGAGGCTGCACTGGGACTGGAGCGCGCACACATGGGGATGTTTACAGAGCTGGCCATACTTTATTCCAAATTCAAACCACAGAAAATGAGGGAGCATCTAGAGCTCTTCTGGTCCCGCGTTAACATTCCAAAGGTACGGCCAACACGCAATTTTAAGGAGGGTGATTTATTTTATATTTTTTCGACTATAGCTCGTGTAACAGATAGTCCGTGACAGGTTCTCAGGGCAGCGGAGCAGGCTCATCTATGGGGCGAGCTGGTCTTCCTCTACGACAAGTACGAAGAGTATGACAACGCCATCATCACCATGATGAGTCACCCGGCTGATGCCTGGAAGGAGGGTCAGTTCAAGGACATCGTGACCAAGGTGAGCGATGCTAGCCGGTCTAATATAGAATAGAGTTTGAGTAGTATGGAAGTATTAGTGTTGTGATCTGATTCTGGCAAAATTTAGGCTTTCAGTCTGTGTAGCTGAATTGACTACAATTAAGTGGCAGAAGAATTCAATCAATTATTCATGAATATAATACCCCATCTAACCAGGAACAGAAAGAAGAGATGTCTGTTTCTATTTTTACTAGTTAACCCTTTAATGTTCCCTCCTTGAAGAAAGCAATGTATTGTGTTCTTACATGTAGGAGCACAACTTGTTTTTATTATTGGCTTTTACCAAATGGTTGAGATGCAGTCTGATGGTAAAAGTGCCTAAAACAAAGTGAGATGCCCCAAAGAGGTATATTTCAGTTCCTAGAAGATATTGTGACACACAAATGGATCTATCAAATGGCTGAGGAATCCATGAAAGGGATAATGCTGAGGTACCTAATTTTCAAACCACAAAAAATTGAATTAAAGGTAATAAAATCAAACCAACTAATTCCTTGCTTGCAAAACAGTTTGGCTCTTTCAATAATTTGAATTTTGGTATCCGTCACAAACGTCCAATAGTGACTTTACATGTGTGCAAAAGATGGTTTTCTAATTAGAAAAAGACAGAATGATTCCATTTCTTGTGTTGCCCATGTTGATTGTGTGCACTTGTCCTATCAAATAAATCAATGCATAAATTACTTTTACTTTTACAAGGCTCCTGCTGTTGGAACAAACAAAAAGTCTTCTTCACTTTAACTTCCACTTTTTTTTAAATCTAGTCTGCATCCACACAATCTTCATGTGCGTGTTAATGTGCGTCTTCTGGATTTTAAAACATTGTAGGACATATACAATGACGCATTCTTGTTTACATTCCAATGCAATATACACTTTTGATAAAAGGCGTGATAAAATTATGATAATGCTTTTAATCTTGGCATATCCTTCACCTTTTTGATAGACAATTATAAACAAAATCCCATGAAATACATTTGAGTAAGTTTTGGTATTTATGTTGCTGCAGGTGGCCAATGTGGAGCTGTACTACAAAGCCGTTCACTTCTACTTGGACTTCAAACCGTTATTACTGAACGACCTCCTGATCGTTCTGTCTCCGCGGCTGGACCACACGCGCGCCGTCAACTTTTTCAGCAAGGTTTGTGAAAATTGACCTGCGTTAGATTTACATTGGAGTAACTCGGATCCTGCCTTTTTTGAACGTTTGAATGCATCGGTCTGCTCTGCCTCTTCCAGGTGAAACAGCTGCCTTTAGTTAAGCCATACCTGCGGTCAGTCCAGAACCATAACAACAAGGCCGTCAACGAAGCGCTCAACAATCTCTTCATCAATGAGGAAGATTTTGCGGTAAGATTTCTTGTACTGGAAGTGTTTTCAGCCTTGAGTAATTTTCAAATGATAAAAAAACACCAAGAATCAGAGAGAATTATATTATAATTTATAGCAAAAATTTGCAAAATACGCATAGTTCTGAGATCTTTTACGATGCATCCTATTTAGTCGACCAGGAATTCTTCGGTCATTACAGCCCCAGTGCTTAGAACCACTACATGATGCTGATTTACTTTTTCTTTTATCTTTTTTTTTATGGCACTCAGGGGGCTACATGAATATTAAGTTGAATTTTTTTTCTTGTACAATCCAGGCATTGCGCACCTCCATCGACGCCTATGACAACTTTGACAACATCTCGCTGGCTCAGGGTCTGGAGAAGCACGAACTGATCGAGTTCAGGAGGATCGCGGCGTATCTTTTCAAAGGCAACAATCGCTGGAAACAGAGTGTAGAACTGTGCAAGAAGGACAAGCTTTACAAGGTGCTTACAGACGAGACTTTCCACATTTTTGTCAATAATCAAATCAACTATGAATCATTGTTCTATCTTTGTTGCTGTAATGCTTTTTCCAGGATGCGATGCAGTATGCATCTGAGTCCAAAGACATTGAGCTGGCGGAGGAGCTGTTGGCCTGGTTCCTGAATGAAGATAAGAAGGAGTGTTTTGCTGCATGTCTCTTCACCTGTTATGACCTCTTGCGGCCTGATGTGGTGCTGGAGACCGCCTGGCGGCACAACATCATGGACTTCTCCATGCCCTACTTCATCCAGGTCATGAGGGAGTACCTCAGCAAGGTGAGGGCTTTACACTTCAAAACATGGAGAACATATTGTTACGTGCGCTGTTTAGGCTCAAATGAAGTCAGGTTTCAACAGGCAGCAAAAGTGTTCATATCTTTCTCTCATGCCTGTCATACATGCATATCCCCCTCATTTTGTTTTCCAATGCTGCTTTTTCATACAAATGTTTTTCTGGGGTTCATAACAGTCCTTTTTCGTTTGTGTGGCTGATATCGGCTACATTTTCTGCTTCTTCAAAGAGCCAGTTGTGAGATTTGTGCTTGGTTTTCTTTTGAAATATGCTGCAGAAAACATCCTTCACCATCTGCAAATGATTCCGATAAGAAATATTCCTACATTGATTTTGTTTACTTTGCCAAAATTTTCCAAATTTACATTTGTATCAAAAGTGGCAGTTTAATCCGCTCTTTCATGTGGTGAGTGCTGTTTTTTTCCTCTCTTCTTTCTATAAATTTATACTTTGGGGGGCTTCCATTTGTTTTTTTCTTTCCTCCTTAAGTTGCTTCTGAATTTCCTTTACAGGTTGATGCGATAAAGGAAAAGGTGAAAGTCGAATCCATTTTCTAGTTGCTCTTTGGCCCCTCCCCTGTCCTCGTCCTGTAGCCTGTAGTTTGGAGGGGTACAAGTAGAAAACTGCATGACACTCCCCTGTATCACACTGCTGCTTCTGACTTTAAACCCACATCTCCACAAGCCTTATTTCTGCCTCACTCCAGAGAGATGCTCTGAACACCTCTGCCTCAGGAGGCTGCTCTGTGAAGCTGCGGACACTGCCATTTTGGACGTCTGTCCCCGTTTCACTACAAGATGTACACTTCTCCAGTGAATAAAATAACTTCCAAAGACAAGCCGCCTGCTAGAGACTGCAGCAGTGACTATTAATAACATAATAAGTCTTTAACCAATTATCAGAGACCATAAATGATACAGTTTACTTCCGGTTTTAGAAATGTGGCTTCATGTCACTTTGTGCTGAAGTTGCTGTGATGTATTTGGTTCTTAGGCAAAGAGAAGCTCTCCTGATGCATTGGTGAAGAATAAGATGCATCTTTCTGGATAACTCTCAAGCCGTTTCCAGGGTGTTTTTTCACAGAAGTGTTAAATGTGGGCAATAGAAGATGAACTAGTCTTAACTGTATCACTTTCTAATTTTAACATGGGTTTTGTCACAGGGCTATAATATACACAACTGTGATCTTTCTCAAACATCATTCAGTGTTTAGTTTTTAAGGGAAACCAAAAGAGAAATTAATCCTGTTGCTCTTTTATATAACAAGATGTCTATCGTCAGCTAATGCTTGATCTGTCTCAAATATTTTTAGGGAATGTTCATTAAAAATCTTTAAGTCGCGCAGAGGGCATGAAAAAAGCTGCAGCACTACGGCCTGGCTCCGAAGCATCGCTGTTGGCTGTGCTTGCTTCTCAAAGATCATCCCGCACCCTCTCACTCCCTCCACGTTGGCTCTCTGCTTCAGTCTTATCTTTCTCATGCACTCCTCAAGACGATGATAACAGATATGGCCGCTTCAGCATGTCTCTCAACCCTCTTCTTCTTAAACTAAAAACAAAAAAACAGCCTGAACTTCTCTAAACAGCCTGCCTAACCTAATTGTTTGACTACTTACGCTTCGTAACCTCTAAAATGTGTTGTAGAGAACTGAACCCAAAGCCAGAATTTGCTTTTGCTCACTGTTGTCGTTCCTGCTTTTCTGTAAAAGCTACAATTGTATATTTGTGTTAAATCAGGAGCTGCAAAAGCAGTTTTTTGGTTAAACTAGTTCTGTCCCTTTTATAACTAGGGCTGTACAAACATGGAGTTTTTAAATGTGCTCTAAGGTCTAGTCACTGGTCTCCCAAATGTTATTGCAGTTGTTGTATACAGGTATATAAGTATACAGGCCCGATTGGCCTGTATACTTAACATAGTAACTAATACCAAGAAGTCCATGCGAATAGGATATGAAAATGTATAATGGTGAGGGTTAGTTCTCTACACGTATCACTGAGAATAGCTGACATTAGTGGCTGGTTGGTGGGACCATTATTTCCCATAGTTGTGTTTGTCCTCTCAAACCCTGATTCACAGCCTTGTACTCCACACGAGATCATGCATAGATGTTTAAAGTAGCGGGTAGTGCTTCTTAGCTGTAGTTTTCTGTAACCTCTGCGTAAAGAAGGCCCATCAGTGCATTTAAATCTGGACTGTATCCGTCTTCGCCTATCAGGAATGGTCCCATCCGTCAGCCAGTGAAATAACCCGAGGTCAGTCTGATACAAGCCTGCACCTAAGCCCTCTGCTCCTCGTGAGCCCCCCTCCCCCTGACCTCCAGCGGCACACGTCGTCACGCCTCTCACACCCATGTGCCTTCATCCACAGGTGGACAAGCTCGAAGCCTCTGAATCCTTAAGGAAACAAGAGGAACAGGCCACCGAGTCACAACCAATTGTTTACGGTAAAATGCCACCCTTCGATTATTGTGGACTTAGTTTGAATTGGCAAATTCGCTGTTGCAAAAAAAGCACAAAAAGGGAAATTGTATGGCTTTGATGACATGAAGCAAAAAAGTGGAATAGATGAAAAGAGAAAATGAATATAATTGACTAACCTTTTACCCTATCATAAAGTACAGTTGCTTTTGAAGTGTAGGACAACATTTTTTAAAACAAGCACCTGTTTGACCCGCCCATTCCTACAGCTTTCTGATGGACTGAATTAATTAATATCTTTGCCATTGGTCTGACTATTTTCCTCCAGCAAATCTGACTGGTGGTATTCCCATAGGCTCTTGATATTTCAGGGCCATTTGGTAAAAATATGCCTTCTTTAAAATAGTTACAATTGAAAGTGAAACACCTTGCATATCTCTTTTTAATATGTATTTATATTGAACCCTTTTTAGGTGCCGGATTTTGTTTCCAAACATTGGCTGTGAAACAGAAATGGTGGCCCCCCTGTAATTTTATAAGGGATAAAGTTGTTAATAATTCAATGTCTGTCCTGGATTTAGAAGTTTGTTTAGCAATGCTGCTACTTTGGTGCTTAAATGCCCTAAATGATTTATTGTAGATTCATTATTATGGTGTTTGCATCTCTGAAAATGTAAAGGGGATCACAGTCAAGTCAGTAAAAGTCTATATTTCTGTTGCTTTATTTGAACATGTTTTGTGTTTCTCTCTCAGGCACTCCTCAGCTGATGCTCACGGCAGGACCCAACGTGGCAGTACCCCCTCAGCAGGCCTATGGGTACGGATACCCGGCAGCACCAGGGTACACTCAGCCCCCTCAGCCCGGCTTTGGTTACGGCATGTGAAGTATGGTCCACTAAACCCCCACAAACCCTCCATTCTCCACCGGTCTCTGTTCGATACCAGCCTCCCATGGTCTTCTACCGCCACAGGGGACACAACAAGCAGCTGCCCACTCTCTGCCAGAGCACTATTTTTTGTGGTGTAATTTACACAAGAAAACATTTGAATACATCCTCGGACTTTTTATTTGTATTCTTTTGAGAAGAAATTGGACCATGTCTTTTATTTTTCACATTCCATATTTATAATTTCCTATTAGAAGATTATTTGTTGTATGTTTTGTTTATTCTTGTTGTTTCAAGTGCAGGGGTGGACTTGCTGCAGCTCAGCAACGAACCTTTTGAAGTAGGTGGAGGAGCATTGGATTTGCACTCATGAAGAAATTTATGTAGAAAAGCTCTTGATTTTGACGTACTGAACATGTGAAGCTTACATTGTCTCATTGTCTGTATAATGCATTTCATCATTGTATATTCTGAGAAAAAAAGGTAACATATAATATTTGAACAATATATTGCCATTCCAATGGCTATAGCTAGCAACACTAAGTAATGATAGTATATTCTGCACAGGCGTGTAGGTTTATGGAGTTTTAAAGCATACAGCGGTATGTCACAATTTGAATGAAGGGTGTATGTGCGTGTGTTACATGTGTGAGTGTGTCTAAAGATTTTAACTCCCAGAGAGCCTGCACCGGGCCCCACCTGTAGATGTTAGCTCTCCTCCATCCGCTCCATGTATTAGGTGACCTATCGTGCCGTGTACAGTGCTTGTGTGAGACTCGTGTATGTGCAAGGACAGGACCGCAACTCCCTTAAACGTACTGTGTGTATTTACTCTAACCCTCCTTGTGCTGAGGTCCCTGTATGCCAGCTGTTGTGCCGTTTCCCCATTGGTCACCATTACTTTTCTGCGTGTACAGATGTGAACTTGACGAATTCATATTTGAACTGCTCCCCTTCATCTTTCCTCCACACTCTGTCCAAACCTCCCTCTGGTCCAGCGAGAGGTGGTCAGACGGTGTCATCTTGAGTAGACCCATAAGCACTCCTCTAGGTTGTGTGTTAGATTATGATGAAGAAACTAGTTCACGGTACGTCCAGTTATTGTCCAGAACGGATGATGTAACAGCGTGTACTTATCTCGATGTATTTAAGTCCCGGACATGCTTTAAGCTGTGTGTGTAAATCATCTAACCCTTCCTTAAGTTCATTTTCTGTTGTCATGCATATTAAGAATTAAGGGGATCTGTCATTAATAAATGGAAGAACATGACCTTATTGAAAGGGAACTACTAGCCGAAATAAAAACAAAAAATTGGACTCTGTCAGCTGTTTTTTCACCCTAATTTTACTATGGTGTATGTAAAGACTTGAAAAACATGTTTAAAACAGCTGTACCAACAAATCAAACTCAATGCTTGCCTGAAACAAATTATTTTTTTACTCGTTGAATGCCATAATAATGCAAGAGTTGTGATCCATCGCAGATCAAGTTCAGGTGACTCTGTTTTTCCATAAACTAAAGCCATGATTGGACTTAATGTGGGAAATGATCAGTTATCAAAGTAAAGTTACTATTAGTAATTCTCTACCATTCTATTACAATTAAGATTCACACTTCTTTCACTCTCTCTTGAATGCACTTTTATCTGTGAAAGATTAGTCATTACAGATTAATTATAAGGATACATGTTATGCAAAATTGTGTTTTGAGCTTTTGAAAATGTTACCTGACCTCATCAGACCTGGAGCTGTTTTTAGATCCACCCAAGTTAATATGATAAACTTCTGACACACATTTGTTGTTGCTTTTTAAAACAAAAGTGATGAAATATCTGGTGAAAGTACGTTCTTCACAATCGCATTTCTTTGTGGGTAGCCTGTAAAACAACTCAAATGCAACTCCTCCCTCTGGTGGTTGTATAGGGAGTTGCATATGGACATCATTTTTATCCTTTATCCTATGATAGTTCTCACAAATGAACTTACAAAAGTACAATTCCGCATGATTTTAATGATTCATTATAATGCATCATATTCTTCTTTAAAACATAATTTAAACACATAAGTAAATGAGTAATGCCATGATTCAAACCGTGTGCCTCAAAACCCTGCTTTCCTCTGCACCTCACTGCAGTACTTCTCACAGAGGCCGGTCGCCCTGCACACAAACAACACGTCACGCATTCATTTAACATCTTATTTGAGTAACCGTCGTCTTACCTGAGCTCGTTCAGCTTCTTTTCCTTGATCTCCCCGAGCCTCAGTCTCCGCAGCCGCGCCTCCTCACTCAGCCTCTCTGAGTCTTTGAACTTTTGCTTGCGTTTGGCCACGGCCGACAGCTCGCGCTCTCTCACCTGCTGACGGAGGACCTCTGCATTTCTCAGCAGTTTTGATTGTAACTTCTCCTCTTCCTGCTTTTCTTTGACGATCGCCTCTTGTTGTGCTCTGTGATGCACACAAACAAATCTCAATAATCTGTGTTTTTAAAATCCAACTTGATTCAATGCCTTAAAGTCTTTCAAACTACAAATATGGAACTACTGAATTGAATCAATCCAGGTTCCAGGCTCTAGTTCTTGATTCTAGTTTCCACATGCATGTATTGTTTGGCCCTTTTTCCGACAGAACATTTTAAAAAGAGAGGACCTTCATCACTCAGCCAATCAACTCAAACTCAAACCCAACTCAAACTCAACCGTGGGTTCGAATCCCGGTCGGAACAGGGCCTATCTGAGTGGAGTTTGCATGTTCTCCCCATGTCTGCGTGGGTTTCCTCCGGGTGCTCCGGTTTCCCCTACCACTAAAAATATGCTCACTAGGTTAAATCCTCCAGCTCTGGTAGTCCTGACCAAGCCGAGCATTAACCTCTGGAGATGGGTTCCCGGGCGCTGTACTAGGGCATCAGGATGGGTCAAATGCAGAGGACCAATCTCCCTACGGGGACTATAAAGTGCAAAGTGCAATAAAAAAATGTAAACAGTGACTCACAGGGATTTTTTCTTACAAGCAAAAGATGCAACAGTTTTCTAATAAGACAGCATAATGTAGTCTGATTTGTTCACATTGTTTATATTATTAAGGGGGGAAAAGTTGGATACCCCAGCTTTAAAATTGTAAGAATATTTCAAATAAATTAAAAATACATGATTGAGGACTTACCTGAGAACTCTCTCGAACTCGGCCTTTTCCCGGCCAGCCTCGATCGACTGGAAATGTTCTTTGTAGTGCACCTGCTCAGCCCTGGCAGCCTTCAGCATGTCCTGCTCCTGGGATTTCTTTCGTGCCAATTCTTTCTCTTTTCGTCTCCACTCTCTGTCCATAAATTCCTGATTTCTTCGTGCTCGTATTTCATCCTATTATTTTACCCAAGATACACAAGGAGTTTTAGATTTAAATATATTGATTTTGAGGATTTTGTTAATTGCTAAGGAGGAACAAACCAGCCCCATTCACAAAATCTGCCAAAGCCAAATAAAAGATAATGGGGATGGAATGTGGGAAGCAACTTAAATACCACGGAAGTTATGTGAACAGAGAAGAATTTCAAATGATCTGTAATTCCTGTATGTGTGTTGGTATTTTCGATTTCTGCTGTTTTATGGGAACTGCATGCAAATGGTGGTTGATGTGGTAGTGGGGTCTGACCTGCTCAGCTTGATAATCTTTAGCTTTCTCTTGCCGTGCCCTCAACCTGGCAATTTCCAATTCCTTTTCTTTCTTCAGACGTTTTTGCTCTGCTTCATGTTTGGCTTCACGTTCCTGTTAACGTCATCATCGAAGGTAATGGGCGTCATAACCATTAAGTTGGAAGCCTTTGGAAGCCTTTACATGATGTTGCTGATCTCACCATTTTTTGTTTGATGTACTCCAGTGCTCTTAAGTCTGCGAGCTGCTCCTCCTCTCTCCGCTTTTCTTTTGCTCTCAGAGTCTCAGTGTTGATTCTCTTGATCTCCTCCTGAAGCTGCTCCTGTTCCTTCTTCTTCCTCTCCAAAGCCTGAAACAACACGACACAGTAAACTCCCACAGTCCCACTACAATATTCTATTACTTGGTCCAGAATACTGTATTCTGACTGAGAATACATTTACATCACTCTATTCATTATTTTAATACCTATTTGTTTACTACTAAGAAGTAGTTTGATTCCTTAAAAAAAATGTTGGTACCCTTTTTCTAATGACAAATTCACTCATAACTTTTTGAGTTATGGGTAGTAAAAAGCATACTAAAAAACAAACCCTGGTGATAATAATACCCACTGTCCGAAGTAATAAAAACTTCTGGTCATGTTTGTGTTGCTAGGTAACTCTTCACCTGACGGTCCTCTGAGTTCATCATCTCCAGATTCTCTCGAAGCTTCAGTTTCTCCAACTCTTTCATTTCACTTTCAAACTGACGCTCCTCGTCTCGCTCTCTGATTTGATCGCAGACTTCTTGCATTCCTCTAGAAAGAAGATTTAAATTCATTAAGGTCACTTTTTAACAAAACCTACAAGTAAACAAACTTTAGTTTTGTTAATATAATTATTAAGTAATATAATTATTGTAATTAAGTAATTACAATGTAATTACTTGCACAAAAACACATCAAACAACTGCCCCTGAAACCTACTGAAATGCCATGAGGTGAGTATTTGTATCAGTTAGGAACTTTCCATAGATATCAAGTGACAAAACCTGTATCGTTGCATCTTGCGCAGCTCGTCGATCTTCTCTATCGTCTCCAGGGCCTTGCGCCGCTCCACCTCCATCATGGCATCCAGACGTCTTTCTTCTTCACTCAACTCCAATTGGATCTCAGCTTTCTCCTGCATCTGAGCATCTCTGGAGGCTTGACACTTTACCTCTAGAATCAGCTGGTAAGAACATGCTTAATGTAATTCTCTTTTGAAAACACCACAAACATGTGGTCAGTATAGTTCCTACTCTGTTGAGGACTTTGATCTCGTCCTCCTGCTCCATCCTGAGGGAGTGGGCCTGGTCCAGCAGACGCTGTGTGCGCTCCCGGGCCTCTAGTTCTTCTTCTGTCAGTGTTGGATTTGCCAGTTTGGACAAATCTGCCTCAATGATCATTCGCCTTTTCTCTTCTGCTGCTGCCTTTGTTTGAAATTAAAATGGAACAATGTAATGTTCATCAACCTGTGTTTTGGAACCTACTGGTAGAGTACCCCCTTTAGTCCCCACAATATTGATAATGTATTCATATTTATACACACATTAGTGTGAATAATTTCAAAAGTTTTCATGTTTTGTATATCAGCAGGCCTACATCTGTGTACCAATATATAAACAATGACCAAGCTGAGAGTTTAGTTGGTAGATTGAGGGATTGCCACTTGGCTGGTGTTTTTTAACCATGGGTTCTATGGGTCAGGGTGAGGAGGTCACCACTCACATCTATAAAGAAATTGTGTTATATCTTACAATTTCGGCTTCTTTCTTTTTTAGCGAAGCTTCCTTAATGGTTTGAATCTCTTCACTGGTCAGAACCCGAAGACTCTGGTTCAACACAGATGCAGGTAGAATTGTTGATTTTCCGGAAGGATCCTTACATGGGACCCTAACACAATTAACATTTGATACATTATCATTTTAAGAGGGGCCTTTGGAGATAGACTGGACACATACCTGACTTCTCGAATAAGGTCCTTGGTGATGATTTGAAGGGTTTCACCATTTTTGTTGTGATTTTTCGTCTGATTTCTTGGATTGGGCGCTGATTTACCACGTTTGTCTTTATTTGGGATTTCTGATTTCTGAGGTAGAAAACATTCACAATTAATTAGAAATGCATTAAATCTAGATATCCACACTACATGGAACAGATAGATAAACTTACACTTGCAGGTTTCCCAAACAAGCTCTCGTCGACCTCAGAGTTTGAGGCCCGTGTGCGATAGCGGCGAGAGTGAGAGCTGTTCCGAGAACTTGTGGTAGTAGATGCTGCTCTCTGCAAAAGATGGTGAATGAATGAGCATTAAGGATTTCATATTAAAATTAGCACACATTTCAATTCATATCACAAAACCTTCACTACAAATTCTCACTGATTCCTTAAAACAAAACTGGTTCAAAGAAAGTTAAAACTAAAAGTTGCATAGCAGGTTTTTTATCATTTTAGGATTGTGATCTTTACAATTCCAGGAAGTGAAGCAGAGTGATGATATCACAATAGAGATAGACAGCAATCATCGTATACACTCTGATACACACAAACATTAAATGCATTTTAATGTACTCTACCTGAGGCCCAGCTTATTAGTTGGAAATACAATCCTGCTGATGTCAAAAATCTCAACTAGAAAGTGAAAAATAAAAAGGGAACAAAATCTCAATTGTATTTTGTAAAAAGGCAAATCTAACCCTATTTGGTCAGTAAATAAAAATGTAATGATCCACTGTTTATTTTAAATAAATAAATCATAATACAAAAACACAAGGTTTGGCTCTTACCATGATTCACTGGTGGAGAGGCCGCTGATTAGTCCCAGTGTTTTACTGTTTATTTGATTCAAATTGCATTCATCTGGTGAGGCTCAGTTTATTTGTGAGGACGTGATCCTGTTTCGCTTGATATGTGTTATGTTAGTGTTGCCGTGGTAACCATAGCAAGATGGCGACAAGGGTGCGTCCAATTTCTCATCATTTGCCTCCTCATCCAGCCCACTGAAGAGACAAGCCAATAGGAAACCACTTGGGGGAGGTTCTGTATGACTCCGGAGCAGGCGCGACATCATGGGCGGGACTCCCAAAGGAGTCGAGGGAGGGGAGGGTGGCTCTTTGGAATGGGGTAGGGTAATAAGGGAACTAGAATTGTATTAAGCCCCTTTTCTATTAGTCTTACTATGCACCTTTATCACATAATTCCATATCAGAAACGTGCATAGTTTTATTACATTGTTGGCAAAACACTACAACCACAACAAACCAATGAATGTACATATTCTCTTTATTTACATATTAATGTGTACACACATAAGAACAGAACAAATTCACACAATTTTATTCCAAATTGATGGAAAACTGAAGCCAGCGTTTAGCGGACAGGATGAAAGGGTTCAACGATTTCAGCCATGGTCTTCTTCTCTGTTAAAGGATTGAAAGAAAGGATGAATTGGCAATACTTTGTCTCTTCATATCTATAAATCTATGTACAATACATTTGCAAAGACGCATTACTGAAGCACAGTGTAATGAGTACTTCTGCTTTATTTGCTAACATTTAGACTTGTCATCAGGACATGGAGAGGCCAGTTTGATGCATACTGCAGACGATTATAGCAAATAGAATAACATTTCCAAAGAAACAAGCATGGTTTTAGGGATTCAGGCCATCTCACACTATGAAGTTTTTGGATAAATGCTAATCTGACTAAATCTACTTTTGGATACATGTCAGTTGATGTTTCATGTTTTTGACTACATACCCTTTGGTGCAAAGTTCTCTGGATGAAGATTAACATAACCGAACATCTCATGGTCACGTTTTGCGTAGGTGTAGTTCTCAATTTTAGTCAAATGATAGCCAATGAACCAACCAATAGTAGCCAGGAGAGCCTGTCGATGCACACCTAAAGAAATGACACATTAGTGCATAAGACAAAGGTGGGGTGACTACAGTAAAATACAATGTAGACATACAAACTAGTGTTAGATATTAATTGATACTTAAACTAGTATCTAAACGCGATACTCATTTAGAAAAAAGCGTATACATACTAGCATGGATCTCTGAGCAATTTTGAACTATTTCTATTAACTATTAGCTAATTCATCTCTATCACACTTATGTCTAAATAGCAAGTTTTATATGGCATAGTACTTCCTCAGCTATGAAATACAGAGGGTGAAATTGCGTATTGTTATGGGTTAGTTAGCTATGCCTCCATGTCTTATAGATCCATGCTCCATGTCAACAAGAGGCAATGCTAACCTGACTTCAGCGGCGGCCTATGGTTTATTCCGTTGTGAAACATAGCTGTGCACCAGCCGATACCGGCGAGCCACACCGAGTTTCTGTTCACGATCCCTGGAGGGTGGAGCACCTTTGCCTCGTCTGGTAACCTAATGCCCATCTTCAGCAGTTTTAGACCCACAACACTCTGACCTCCCGCTGCAGCTTAGCTTTAGCTAGAAGGAAGTCAAGGACGGCCAGTGCACCAGTAAAATCTTCCCGGGTAAAACTTGAGCAAGAAGTTGGTTCCGCTGGATACTCTACCTAGAAACCAACAAAATAACATTGATTTATTTGTGTCAGTATGTCTATCTGTGTAAAAATAATTATGCCGACAGGATGAGCATGTTCTTTCACCCTGCTATATAGTTATGATGAAGATGTGTGTCTGTGAGTAAACCTTTGATTTAGCCTTTCAATTGTACATATTTAAAATAAAGGAATACATGGAATGAATAATAAAATAATATATCTATCATTGAGCTGCAATAAAGCCCTGATCCAAGCCAGAACCAGAGTGCATATGAGTTGATGCTCCCACGCACACACACCGGTGACATCATAGGAAAGCAGTCCCCCTTTATGGTCCAGGCTGTGGAGCTGCGGAGGATACGCTGTCAACGGGATATGCCCTGCCCAGCAGCAGCTTTGACCATCGAATAAACTGGCCTATGCATACCGAGAGGGTGTAAAACGGGGACTTCCCCGTGTATTTGGTAAGTGCAAACTGATTTTCTTTCTAGTATGAAATCAACAGAGATGTATTACATTTGCATAGGGCCCCAAAATGGCCATGGTCACCGGTAGCCGCTGCTACTGGTGTTAGCTTTAAACTCGTCATCTGCTCCGCTATGACTGATACAGAGCATTTCCTAAATCATTAAATGGAAGCCAAATTTCACGAGATTAGTTCACCCACGATGTATTACAAATGGCTACACTCACGCAGAAAATGATAACGGTGCTGATACAATGGAGCAAAAGGTAATGTGCGTGTACCAATTTGCCTTTGAGATGAGAGATGATACTGCACAAACACAAACACCGGTGACTTAAATGTCCTAAAGCTTTGAGCATGTGTTGATGGAAAATTCTAGAGACTGTCCCCAACCCAGGTACCGGAGGTTACTGCGGCATTTAACTAGGTCTACAAAGCTGTTAATTTATAAACATTCCAGGGAAAACAAAACACGTAGTAACATCATTATTTTTTATTATCATTATCATTAATATTTTAATCTTCATTATTCTTATTATACTTTTTATTATTGTTTGTTCCATTATTACACTTCACATTCTGTTATTACACCTTTGCAGTTACCTTGAAATGTAAAGTGCAATATTAATAACATGTGTTATTAAATTTAATGATGATTTATTATAATCAACATTGTCTTATTGAGATAATGGAAATGTTTAGTGTGAGCTAAAACTCTGTTTTGATGCAGGTGAGGATGAGTATGGAAGACTATGACTACCTGTTCAAAATAGTTCTTATTGGAAATGCAGGAGTTGGGAAAACCTGCCTTGTCCGACGCTTCACTCAGGTTTGAAACACAATTTAATTTGAAATGTTTACATTTATATAGTAATTCTATCTGTTTTGTTTTAGGGCCTTTTCCCACCTGGACAGGGGGCTACTATTGGAGTAGATTTCATGATCAAAACTGTTGAAATCAAAGGACAGAAGGTTAAGGTAAAGGCCAAACATTCTCTGTTTATGTGGAATGAAGCTATACCGAAAAGTAATATTTTTTTTCTCCCCCTTTAGCTACAAATATGGGACACCGCTGGGCAAGAGAGATTTCGTTCTATAACTCAGAGCTATTACCGCAGTGCCAATGCTCTTATTCTTACATATGACATTACCTGTGAGGACTCCTTCAGGTGCCTTCCCGAGTGGCTGAGGGAGATTGAACAGTATGCCAACAACCAAGTTGTGACTATATTAGTCGGTGAGAAGGCATTACTGATTCCAGTAACTTAACATTGTCTGCATGTTTGATTGTGTAATTATTTTTTTTTTTTTTTGGTAGGTAATAAAATAGACCTGGCAGACAAGAGAGAGGTGCTCCGGCAGAGAGCGGAAGAATTTGCCGAGGCTCAGAGCATGCTCTATCTGGAGACGTCCGCCAAAGAGTCTGATAATGTTGAAAAACTGTTCCTTGACTTGGCCTGTGAGCTCATCCGAGAGGCCAAACAAAACAAGCTGGACAACAATGATACTGCCCCGATGCCTGGTGAGGGTAAAACTATCAGTTACTTAAGCTGCTGCAACGTTAATTAGAGCTTTCTGGCTGTTGTAACTCAGTATAAATTGACAGCAGACAGCAGATGGCTGAGCCTTTATGCCTCCGTCCCTCTCTGGTGACGTCAAGCCTCCACTTAAGTCCTCTCATTTATATCCAGTACCCATGCCTTTTAAAACAAAAGGAGTTTCAGTCAACATTAGTTTGGCCTGCCAGATAGAAGCATTTTAAATGCTGCCATGGACTATAGTGTCTGCAATCCAACAGCCTGACCACCTGATGCATCTTGGCAATCAGAGTAGGGCTTTGTTTTGTTCTATTCATCCTTTTATAGAGATTCAGCATTTGCATTTAACATCAGTATTCACCAGCAGTGTTTTTGTTACTGACTCTATCACACTAATTGTAAAGATATTGGGATGGACTTAGTGTAATATATGTTTACATTCAATACCTGGTGGAAACACCAACTCTAATCAGACTTTCCATTGGTCCGCACAATTACGTATTTGCCACTAGTTAAGTTTCTTATGCTTATGAGAATACAATATGTTTTTAATTTCTTATTAAGTAGATATTTGCACCAATGTCTTTTTTTAAACTGTGAAATTCTGGAGTGGATACCTAATAGAAGATTTGTACGCTGCTAAAACATTTTAATCTTTTAAACACTAATTAAGTAAGCATATACAGTTTATAGGTTACTGCATTGAGACAGTATTAAATTATGCTATTACGATATGTTAATTTTACTTGCTTATCTTTAGTTGAAGGGTGCTAAGTGAAAAGGAATTGGCACTGTCATTTCTCTCTTGATAAAGTTTTATATACATTAAATTTGACCTAACTTGTCACTGTACTCACTGCACTGATGTGACTACCCCTGCCTTTGTTGTTGCTATGCCGGTAAGTGGCCATTCTTGTAGTTTCTTGCATTTATTGTGGAATTGAATTGCCCAGCATGTTTCGCCATACAATTTAGTGTCTGTCTGTTACATTTATTTGCCATAACTGTTTTGTAAAATATTGCACAATGCCATACACTGCACATTTTGTAAAATTTTGTCTTTTATTGTACAATACTGTAGTACATCTTGGCACTTTGCTTTTATAGTTTAGCTATTTGTACTTTTGTTTAAGTGGGCAACATTATATTTTGCTTTTGAACCTAGAACCAACATGTTACTTACTTGTATCTCTCTTAACTTCATGTCTATAAAGAAAAGAAAACAAGAAACGCAACGGCTATTTGTGTGTACTTTGTTTGTGGGTTGGCAAAATGTTTTAGTTCAATTCATTGTGTTTATTTGAGCTGTCTATAACATTGCACAATACAAAACAAATCATTTACCGTATTAACCAATGACTCAAACAAAACATTATGGGAATGCTTACAATTTACCCTTTACCAAACAGGTTTAAAGCAACATATTGTGCCACACCTTCTTTAGCAAATCCTCTCTTGAAAATTGACTATTACCAATGCTTTTTGAGATGGTAACTAGAAGAATACAATTTAATTAACCATATCAAATGTTTTGGTATATGTTATATTTATTATAGTTATGTAACATTTTGCATACATGTCAATCAAATACTATTTAGTGATATTCACACAAACATGCACACATGTTGGTGTAAAATATGCAAAACACCATTGTTGTTAGGCCATTACTATCATAATCATTATTAAAGCTGGGATACCTTACTTTCAAAACCATCTAACTCAATTCTCACAATACAGTTTGTTTATACCACACATTTTTTACATGCATGTGTTTTTTTTTGTCTCAGTGAAATCTAGATCTGCTTTTTAACAACAAATTGAAACACAGAGAACTCTAGAAGTGTGCAAAGGATGACATGTTTGCTAAAAAGAAAAATACATCAAGTGGTGGATTTATTTGTTCACCAAAGCATACTTTTACCAGACTCTTTATATTCTGTTGGCAAAATTAAAACACAAGTTTGGCACCTCTGCTTTAATATCAGCTGCTGCTTTTTAAATAACTACAACTCCCATCAACCATTGCTAGTTCACAACATGAGACACATAAAATCTGCCTGCCTGTCTTCAGCACTGGCTTGGTGCGGCTCAGAAACTATAGACTTAGTATGTTAATAAGGCGTTTATAAGCTTATTCCCAGTCAAGCGGAAAAAAACGGACTTCAAAGAGCGCCCGCGGATCACGTGCTGTCAACACCTCCTCGGATTTGCTGATCTGACAAGTTTCATTTCCTCTTCTTGACGGGACAAACTTGTGCCATCTCCCTAAGCTCGAGACGCGACGGACATTGTTGTCATGCTTTGAATCATAAAATAAGCAGTCATTCACTTCATTTGACAGAAAATGTGGACCAGGAGATTTGGGAATTGGAATCATGGGATCATCGCGGCGTCTGTCTGCGTGTTGTCGCTCTGCGTGGGCTCTCTGCAGGCGATCGCGCTCCAATCAAAACTTTTGACAAGGTCTGGAGGATCAACGACTACAAAAGATATTCCTATAAGCTACCAAACTCTGTACATTGATCAAAAGGTGAGTAAAACACGCTGGGGTATCATTCGTATTCTTACGCATGATAGTATGATTGTTTTGTTATGATATTTGTCTGATTAAGTGTGGCTCAGTTTTTCTCCATGTTTCATAATCATATCATACCCTTGAGGACTAAGCTTTTATAACATTATTTATTATTAATATTTTTCCCCAGTTCCTATTAAATCAGAGGAATCACACTATTGAAAACATGAAATAAATTTTAGCAAAAAGTCTCTAACTGGATTTCATATGAGCAGTTGAAAACATTTACATATCTACTGGTTAAAACAAAAGAAAAAAACTTCCCAAACTTTAATTAATTTCCATTGCCTCAGTATGCCCAAACATAACATGTGTTAAGTTACTGAATACATACAATTGTTGATTGATGACCTTGTTTTGATTGTTGATTTAATTTACTGTTTGTGGGCATTATATACAAGTGTAGGGTGGCTTCAGACTACTGTGGAATAAGAGATAAATAAGTAAAAAAAAGGTTTCATAAGAAGGTATTCATGTGTCATCAAAAAGTTCCTGATTTTACTGGAAAGTCCCCAAAGTCACACATCTTCCCTTAGTTCCTATGTATGAACACAAAAAGCTTGAACATAATCTAAATACCACACTAATTCTATAATGTCCCAATTAAGTAGGCATTGTTTATGTGCTGTGGTTAGACACAAAGGGTATTTAAGATGACTTCCTGTAGTGAAAAGTCTGCTACTGCTACTGCTGTAATATCCTGTTGGCTGTGTGCCCCGGAGGTTTTAGGGGCCAAGTGAATGTAAAGAGAACATAAGTCTGGAGGCTTCTTTTAAGCTATACATCGCATGTGAAGCAGAACTTCTCATAGAGTCAGATTTCAAAATATGTGTGGGGAATCTGAACACAGCTGCAAGACTTGGCTCGTGTGAAGTTCTCTCATAAAGCCTCTCAGTCTGCATGAATGGAAATAATAGCCATAGTGTGCCCATAGTTGGCAAGCAAGAACATGTTTGGATTATAGCTACATTTGATCAGATAAATAGGAGATAAACTTTATTGATCTCACAATGGAGAAATGTACAAGAGATTAGATTAGATGGTTTGGGTCGACTTTTAAATTATTGAAAGGAGATCTGATATAGTCTACAAAATGGAACTTTTCTCTCTTTTCTCCTTGTTCCAACATTGTTCCTCATCAGTCACAGACCTCGAGTGGTTTTCTGATCCATCCATGCTAATCATGTAACTCCGCCCCTTCTATAGAAAAGTTCCTGTCTCAGTCATGTAATATATACCGTAGTCATTGTACCACTATATCACACTGTGTTGTTCATTAGTTTTGTCATTTTCTCAGGTGAAATTACATTCTTTACAATCACTTGACTGTGTTTACAACCGCTCCCTCTGGTGGTAGCATAGGGAGTTACACCCACAAAGCGTTTTTTTTAACCCTTCATACTTGTTTCACATATATTATCTGCCTTATATTATTTCACATTCTAAAAGTAAATGGTTTTTCTATAAAATATATATGTGTGTGTGTTAAGTGTATATATATATAGACAATTCACTGCACATGTACAATTTATTCAAGTGAATTCATTAATGTCCTCTATTTGATTTTGCGTGTATGTTGTTTCGTGTGCAGTGAAATAAAAAAACTATTGTCCAATAAGGTCAACTACCAGGCGTGGTAACCCAACCTTACTCCACCCTCAATCAAACAGGATGTCAAGAAGAGCAAAGCCTCCAATCAGTTGATGTCTCCAGGAAATCCCCTTGAACACCCTCTGCCCAAGACAATGAATGGAAGTGTCTTATAGCATCCTTTTCACAGACTCCTGGAGCCCTCCTTTGATTTGCAGTTTTGTTTTTGTCACACATCACTTTATACAACACACACACACAATTGCTAAAATGATGAAAAATGAGGACCATGAAAATTACCTGTTCAAAATGTGTTATGTCAAGGTTTTTTTTTAATATGCCAAATATTACACACACACACACACAAACCGAATGCAATGATATCTAATCTTTGAAAAGCAGTGAGTATAAGTATATATTCTCACTCCTTCTTTCCTAATTTTCAATCAAACTAGATTTATTGGAATAACATTTATCCAATCTTTCAACATAAACAACTATGTATTAAACATTTAAAATATATAACTTATTTTGAAAGAGAAAAATGTCCTCAGCCTGTTGCATGAACAAGGAATCTTAAACACATCTATCTAAATTTTTCCCATATCATAGAATCAACATTGACTGTGAATTTGGCACCACCGCTAGTCACCACATGGGGGCACTAGCCATCAATGCCGTCATTACTTATAAAACTAGATTTGTGATCTGCATGTAAAGTGGTGAAAGAAATACTCATGACACAGTGTTGTTGGTTACGATGTTGCATTTACTGCATTTGGTGTCATTTATAGTGATTTGTAAATGATTGATTCAGTCCATATGGCGCAAGTCCACCCAGTACTTCCGTGGATTAGATGCAATATTCATCATCTTGGATTTTTGTTGACAGGGGGTATTACATATGAGCCAGTGTTCTGCCAACGTCCATTTAAACGGTCTCAAGGCCCCCTTACACTTTAAAGCACTGCCAAACACGCAGGAGTCGAGGGCTGAATGAACACATTGAGGTCCCAGAATCTTTTAGCTGTCATTGGCTCATAAAATTGCTGCCTCTTTTGTTTCCTCTGAGAAGGAGTAGTTGATGAGAAGAATGGAAGGGTAAAAAAAAAAAGAAAAAAAAATCACTAAACAAAAACATTTTGTATGAGGCGCTGGAGCAGTTTGAGTCTGTGGATAACTCTGGCGTGGCCTCAGCCTCATGGGGTCGTCCTCGCTGTGAAGTTGTTGTGATTCGTTTTCCTTTTGTCTGCATGAGAACACAGGAAACAGAGTTGAAAGGGGAAGATACCCCAGAATCCCAGAGGTTTGATCATTCTGAGAACTAAAGTGGAACTAATGCAGCTTCCCTTAAACTGGCACCAACATTTTTCAAACAAATAGGGGCTAATTACCAAAAGTCGGACTTCAGAGTTGTCATTTCATATCTGGAACTGGGCCAAGCCTTTGATCACAGCATGTTCTGAACAATGTGTCTACAAGCAAGACATTTAAATAACATATTCTATTGTGTGGGAGTTATAGTCAACTTAAAGGGGGATGTGCAAATACACAGGCAATGACTTTAAACATTAATGAGGGATTAGGGTGGTCAGGAGTACCAACAATGAATACATTCCAATACATTGCAAAGCTAGTGTACAAATGTAATTTTCATAAACTATTGTTTAAACCAGGGATGTCAAACTCGTTTTGGTTGTGGGCCAAATACTAATTAAAAAAAGATCTGGTCTTGGCTAAAAGCTGTATTACCTTTTTTTATATTTTTATTTTGAAAAAATATAATTACTTGACATGAGTTAGATTATATTTTCTAAAGATTCATATATTCATACAGTATTTAAAAATAAATCTTTGGCCTAACTTAACTTCTAATTACATGTTAACATATTAGAACAGATTCAATTATATTGTTGTTTTCCTGAAAAATATTATCTTTAAAATGAAGTATAACATGCCATAGTATCCCATTACCATCAATGCTGCGAGTTACTGTAATGATGATAATTAAAAATACTTTCAGTGCCCATGGACTTGACTTTTTAACAAAATCATTATGACCAAATTGGACAGCAACTGAGCAGCTTTAGAATGATGTTTGATCCATATCAGAGCAGGTGTAAAAAGTAAGTAGCGTTAGAAAACAGTTGAGTGTGTATTTATTCATATGTGGTGCTGTTGACCCAAGACGTATCCCACAGGAGATGAACAAATACATGAAACTGAAACTAGATGGAACTTTTTTAATCCATCGAGAAGTTCAAGTGACTAATACTGTGTATAGTGTATTAAACCATCAGTGCAACTTTTACATGCTTATTTTTAAGAAGTAAGATGTTTGTTTTCCATTGTGCTCTACATATTTGTCTTGTGGTGTGGCATTTATTGCAAACAAAGCCGACTATAATCCTGAATGTTTGAGTTGGTTCAGGAAATCAATTTGACTCAAACAGTGGGATTGTACGTTTCTATATTGAGAAGGCATTTGCATGAATGATGTATGCAAGGCTAACAAAATAGATTAAGTAGAGAGATAGAGATCCTGTATTCGTTCCACAGCGGGGACATTTCAGTGTTGCATTACAAGTTACAGAACAGTAGGAATGAGGAGCAAGATTAATGAATAATCACTCTATACTAAAAATACAATGAAATTAGCGTAAAAAGAAGTAGTATCAAATCTCTATCTTTAGCATAATATACCATTTTCTCTTCTCCAGATTGATCATTTTGGATTCCTTGAAGATGGCACTTTCAAACAGCGCTACCTCCTCTCTGACACGTACTGGCACCGGCCTGGAGGTCCCATTCTCTTCTACACTGGCAACGAAGGCGACATCGCATGGTTTTGCAACAACACAGTGCGTCTCAAGAATCAACGCTTCTCTACTCCAAACTGCAGCATTTTAACACGTTTGTTATTCCAGGGATTCATGTGGGAGGCTGCAAAAGAGCTGGGCGCCATGCTGATTTTTGCTGAACATCGTTACTATGGAGAATCTATGCCATTCGGAGAAGCATCGTACAGTGTAAGCTGTAGTTGTTTTTTTTTGGTCGGAGGCGGTATAACCATCTTGTTTTGCATGGTTTCCTGTATTCCTACTGTTCTGTAATGTGCACTGAATTGCACTGTGAGCTGAATTGTTTTTAAGATTAAGATATCCCTTATTTGTCCCACAGTGAGGGAAATTTCAGTGTTGCATCACCGGTCACAAAGCTGTAAGAATTAGGAGCACACAGCACAAGATAAATGAACAATAACTCTCTACTAAACTCTCATTATTACTAAAATAATAATGAAATCTCTTTCTTCTAATAACATTCTTATTATTATTAGGCCCGAGCCCCGAACGGGGTAAGGGCCTATTGCTTTCACAATGGTGAAAACAAATGGTGGCGGTGCGTGACGGACGCGTCAGCGCCCGTCACTCACCAAAACGTGACGGTTGCGTGCGTTAACTCAAAAGCTTTAAAATGATGTATCACGTGCCATTGAAACCTATATTGTTTTTGCTCGAGACGTCGAAAAAAAAATTCCTTTTTTATTAGGCCCGAGCCCCGAACGGGGTAAGGGCCTATTGCTTTCACAATGGTGAAAACAAATGGTGGCGGTGCGTGACGGACGCGTCAGCGCCCGTCACTCACCAAAACGTGACGGTTGCGTGCGTTAACTCAAAAGCTTTAAAATGATGAATCACATGCCATTGAAACCTATATTGTTTTTGCTCGAGACAAGTCACAAAAAATTCCTTTTTTATTTATTTATTTATTTATTAGGCCCGAGCCCCGAACGGGGTAAGGGCCTATTGCTTTCACAATGGTGAAAACAAATGGTGGCGGTGCGTGACGGACGCGTCAGCGCCCGTCACTCACCAAAATGTGACGGTTGCGTGCGTAAACTCAAAAGCTTTAAAATGATGTATCACGTGCCATTGAAACCTATATTGTTTTTGCTCGAGACGTTAACAAAAAAATTCCTTTTTTATTTATTTATTAGGCCCGAGCCCCGAACGGGGTAAGGGCCTATTGCTTTCACAATGGTGAAAACAAATGGTGGCGGTGCGTGACGGACGCGTCAGCGCCCGTCACTCACCAAAACGTGACGGTTGCGTGCGTAAACTCAAAAGCTTTAAAATGATGTATCAGGTGCCATTGAAACCTATATTGTTTTTGCTCGAGACGTTAACAAAAAAATTCCTTTTTTATTTATTTATTTATTTATTTATTAGGCCCGAGCCCCGAACGGGGTAAGGGCCTATTGCTTTCACAATGGTGAAAACAAATGGTGGCGGTGCGTGACGGATGCGTCAGCGCCCGTCACTCACCAAAATGTGACAGTTGCGTGCGTAAACTCAAAAGCTTTAAAATGATGTATCACATGCCATTGAAACCTATATTGTTTTTGCTCGAGACGTTAACAAAAAAATTCCTTTTTTATTTATTTATTTCTTTCTTTCTTTTTTCTTCTGCACTTTGAGCCTTAATTTGACCCCCTGAACATGCATGAAAAGTTGTTAATTTTGGCCCAAAAATCAGACCTGGCGAAAAATTTGATATTTTGGTGTTTATTTTTATGGGACTCAAAAAATGACAGAACAGCGCCACCTACAACAGCCAAAATAATACCCCTATGGGACTTTTCGGAGGTCAAAATTGTCGTAGAAACATGAGATTTGGTACACATGTTTTTCAAGTCAAGACAAGAAAAAAATATTATTATGGCCCCGCCCTCTGACAAACAGGAAGCCCATAAATTTCACTGCAAAATGGAAAAATGAACAGCAAAAGTTTTCATACATGTCGGTTGGAAAGCGACTCCTCCTCGGCCGTTTCACCGATTCGCCTCAAAATCGCTCCACATCATCTCAACACATGTACCTTCAAAATGACCTCAGGGATTTTTGATCAGTGAAACATTGTTTGAGCAGCGGAGCGGCAAAATGTGACCTTTTTTTGGCCGTTTTTGACAACATTAAATTTGCTCCCGTTTGCACATACAAAGTCTGATTTGCACAAAACTTTAATACATTGTTCAACTCTAGGGTCTAGGTCATTTGAAAGTGAATGTATTCAAATTGACACATTAGCGCCCCCTACAGACTATTTCAAAGTTTTAGATGGGCATTTTCAAATTTAGTTTTTTCAAAATGTTTGAAATTTTGCACATACATCTGTTTTGCCCTCTTGATTCAAAAAGTCAATTGGGTCCAAGGCTTATTTTTAACCCAGTTGCCGTGGCGACGACAAACGCTCCCCATTCATTGCAAATGTACACCTCACACAAACATCAAACCAGCCTCGGC